AATAACTCCTATAGTTTGATGTAATCCTTCAAAGGGAATGTAAAGCATTCATTTGGTCAGAGTCGGTTGATCACCTCCCAGTTGAGGGGATCAAATCACCCCAAAAACACTGTAAATCAGCCTTCATTGCCACATTTACAACCAATGGTCCTGTGCTCCTCTGAGCTGAGACAGCAGTTCACTCGAAGCCAGTTTTAATCTCAACTTTTCCAGAACAATAAATTATGAAAATTGTTGTAAATATAATCACATGCCGTGTTGCAGAATGATTGGGGGAAATGTGAACCAGCTGTAGACAGCGTTAACTCTAAATGTTACTGGAAATCTCCATTAATTAAAGTTTGAGCAACATCTGGATCTGGATCTCATCAACACAGAATCTTCTCTGCCTTGTTTGATCAATCCTGTCCTCTTCTGACTCGCATGATTACACTTTAATGGATCATCTTGTACATCGTGTCCATATCGGGTTACATATAGAGCGACAGGAACACACTGTGTAGTCCTGAAAGACTCAGGGTGTCGCTGCTCGTAATTACAGAGCCGCTGACTGTAATTAGTTATGGTGTCGTCACTAAGCGCAACAAACACTGTAATTGTCTGTAATAGACATCCTCTCATTTCACACTGAACTGGAGGAGGAGCGTTTTAATAGCAGCCTGTCAGAGAGGCCTTTATCTATTTTCCAGTGGATGCATTATGAGGTGTACCATGGCCTTTTTTTTAAATGTGTACAGAAGATGATAAACGGTTAACACACACAAAAGAAGATCGCTCTGGGATTTTCACAACAGTAACTGTACTCGTGTGCACAGATCTACTTGAGATTAGGCGTAGTTTTGTATACTAACAGGTTAAGGTGGATGACATGTAGCTTTCTAAATATGTTTTAATGCTGAACAAATTCTGTGAAAGTACACAATAAATATATTTGTTACCATATTCAAGTGTTGCATAGAACTCCACTGTTGTTGTTTTGTTTGTAAAATGTAGCTAAATGTATTCATATTTATCAGGAATCAATGTGTTGAGTGCGACAGATAAGCCAGTTTTGAGAGGCAGCTTCTTATGAGATTTGTTGATGAAATCATAAAATAAGTCCGATTTTGGCGACTCTGGCTGTGAGGGAGTGCGTTTGTCGTATCCTTGGGCAAGATACTGCACCCTGGTGTGTGTGTGTGTGTGTGTGTGTGTGTGTGTGTGTGTGTGTGTGTGTGTGTGTGTGTGTGTGTGTGTGTGTGTGTGTGTGTGTGTGTGTGTGTGAGTGTAAATGTTAGCTTCCCAGAGCAAGTGGCACTGCTCTGCATGAATGAGGTGTGAATGTATAAATGACTTGTTGTATGTAAAGCGGTTTGAGGGGTCGAAAAGACATGACAAAGCACTATATAAGTGGTCCATTTACAATTCACCATTTTAGTACATCAACATGTTTATCCTTTCAATCTAAGTACATCATAGTAAATTACGTTTTGCTGCAGTACTTGATCAATAAAAATAATGTCTACCATGCTAAACACACCAAAAGACAAAAAGACAAAATAATTAAAACATGTTCAGCAGTAAGGGGCCCAACATTGCCAGAAGGAATGTATGAAACTGAGATAAGTTAACCTTTTTACCTTCAGCTATTCAAACATTGAAACTTTATAAACTCAGGTTTTTTCTTCACAAACAAATACAGACCTCAATTTAAACACACTCATACACACTCACTGTTTCTGTGAACACACACCACAAGAAGTATTTGCATGCAGAGACTCATTACCCCCATAAAACACATGGAATAACCACCACACACACACACATATGCCACACACACACACACACACACACACACACACACACACACACACACAGTTGAAACAGACAACAGGAGAGCATCTACAGGAGGCAGCGAGGTCATCACTATCTCCATGGCAACAGCCAACACAGTGATGCAAGCCATCATGATGTCATTGAATAAATCTGTGGTGGCCTGCGGGTGTTGTTGTAACCGCAGGAATTGTGGGGGATTTTGTGCTCTTGGTATTGAGTCAGATCTGGCAGCGCTGAGAGAGGCAGAACGAGGAGACAAAGGGAGGATTTCTCAACCAGGTTTATTCTTTCAAAACACATGAAAAGAACTTCATCGGACCTCACGGTGCGTTTACATGTCATAACACACAGTGGAAATGTACGAGGCCTTTGAGGAGAGACAGCGGAGGTACAGTAGACGACATGGAGTTTAGAGCAGAGAGGAAATGATAACTTTACATATGTTTACATGATCTGCAATGTTCCAATTTGAAGCTTGTAAAGTCAAAAATCTGAGTAAGAAGTGTAGAGTTTTGATTACCTCAATCTGAGAGAGGGACCTTTTAAACAAGCCCTAGACTTCTGCTTTCAGACGTAGTTAATTATGAAGTTATTACCCTATACGATAATAATCCAATTCAGAGGCAATAATGTAATACATTATTTTATATATATTAAATATTTATATATGTATTTTTATATAGTCTTATATATAAAACTGGCCCTTTGAGTGCAACCATGATGTTAATGTGGCCCGAGATTAAATTGAGTTCGACACCCCTATGTTAGAGAGTGTACCTGGTTGTTGATATCATTCTAGCTTGAGTAGCATGTATGCAAGTTATTCTTCCCTTCTGTAAACTTAATGTAAAATAAAGTGTGGAGTTCCATACTCAACACGCCGCCTCCGACTCCCATTCATCGGCTCTACACCGCTTAATTATTGGACATTTCATATTTGCATTCATCTTAAAGTCCCAAATGTTTGAGGAAAGCATCTACAGTATACTGCAGAGATCGTTACATGAACTGCTATATCCAAATATTAATAATTCAGATTATTCTCAATGAAAACAATAAATACAGAAGTCCTTGCTAAAGAAAGGACAGATCAGGTTTTTCAATTGTAATCACTTCAAACCTACAGTATGGATGGTAATGTTTGTTAGTTGGTTTGTTCATTTTTCAGCAGGATTACGGAAAAGTTAATTGCCCAATTTTCCTTAAACTTGGTAAAAGGTAGAATCATGGGCCAAGGGAGAAGACCTTACATTTTGGAGCCGATCTTAATCACATTGTGGATACACACATTTTTTCTGGCATCAGATTTACATTTTAATAATGCTATAAAATCTGATTGGTGCACACTAAGCAACACGGATAACGGAATACATACAATATAGTTAAAATAGTAAAATAAGAATTTATGTGATGTACTTTTTTAATAGTGCCTTCAGTAGTATAATTGCAGTTCATGCAAGTCTTTATACTTTGTACCAAGATGCCTTTTTTGTTGGTGGGTTCTGTAGGTAGATTTTCCCACAAGTGCATTCGTTTTTATGTAAATAGTGAACATAAATGAATTCCTCAAAAATGGATGTAAAGCGCAAAATCAACACATTACAATCTTTAACCAATAGTGCAGAAATGATCCCAAAAATGTAAACCATGTACTCACAATATTACCAATAGTGTCACGTAAGCATAGCCAATTTTTTCACAGATTGTTAACTCACTGAATTTGTAAAAAGGAAAATAATTGTGTAATGTAGGACACACTGGTTATCCCAGCAGGATATGGGATTCATTTCTTTAAATATAAGAATATAAACAGAGCTTCAGTATATAATATGTCCTCACAGTTTGGCTCTCATATTTCCACCAAACAAGAACACAATGTCCCTTAAAGTTTGCAACGAGAGCAACAGCGTGGCGAACTCTCGGACAGATTCAACATCTAACTTTATAAACAGCATACTGTACACACAACGTCACTATCAGACCACAGCGTAATCCAACATCATTCAGATTCATTATTTATAAACTCAAATTACATTATCCAAAGCGATTTACATACTCAGTACTGTGGACAATCCCCACAGGAGCAATTTGGGGTGAAGTGTCTTGCCCAGGGACACAACGACATGCTGACTGCAGTGGGGTTTGAACCTGTGCTCCCCTGATCCGAACACCAACGCACTAGTCCACACGCCACACGCCTCCAAATTCTTCAGTACATTAATATAAGTGGACATTACCTGCACTGCAACACGTAGCAGAGACAGGAGCATTCACATCTAAACACAACACATGCTGGTGTTTAGTCCTTCATCCGAACCGGGAAACACATCTGATAATAAGGAACGTTTGTGATGAATCAGGCATGCATCCAGATGAATGTAAACATATATAATTGATCATGAGTTTGGCACGTGAGTCTGGAGTCTGCTAAAGTTTGAGGGGGAAAAAAGACTTGCTTTCTTGCTGAGAGATTATGGGAAGATTCACCATGTTTTGGGACCTTATGCTAAGCTAAGCGTACAAACATGACATATTGGTCTTTAAATAAAACACATATATGTACTTTCAACAATGTGGTACTGTTCCTTTGAAAGGCAGAACGCTTAAATTGAGAAATTAACTTACATGATTACATTTATCATCAACCAAGTACACTTATATTTTGGGTGTTTTTTTGCTAGTAATTAGCCTTTCCAATACGTTACCCATGAATTATATGTATATATATTTCATAAAAAAAAAACTCGATTATAACTGGAAAAAAACGACACAATCTCAACTGAACCCATACTTGCCAACCCTCCCGATTTTCGCGGGAGACTCCCGATTTCATTGCCCTCTCCCGGTTTCCTCCCGGGGTCATATTTCTCCCGCATTTCTCCCGATTTCTGACAAAATCAGATTTACTTAGGACTGTTTCCACTCGGACTTTAATACAGCTACACCATTGTTTGGTTTCCATGGTAGCGCGTCTCTTTAGACGCAACTGAATGTCTGAGAGGGTGAGGAAGATAGTCACAGCAAACAGAACCAGAATCGACAATTCAACCCTCTGCTCACTCCTTTCCTTTCCTTTCCACATATGCTCCATCAAGGATGGTGCTACAGGCCGCAAGGCAGTGCACTTACAACTACAATAAGCATGTTAATGTTAATCTAATACAGCTCCGGCGATCCACTAGCACCCCCCCCCCCCCCCGCGGTGGTTTTGGAAATGCTCCCGATTTCTGAGGTCTCAAGGTTGGCAAGTATGACTGAACCACAGGTTTAAAATATCCTTGTGATATTTAGATTTTATATGTATTCCTCATTTTTTGATTCCTTTAAGGAGGCAACATCCCAGCCTCTTCAAAATCCAAAACAGCCTGTGTGCTTTTACTCTTTTAATTGTTTGTTGGTGGTCAAAACTGTCAAAAAGCATGATCAGTTTGAGACTTGAGGGTGTAAAAAAACACAACATATTTTGCAGATAAGCAGGAGGCGTCAACCTGACCTTTGAGTCCACTCTGTCCAGCAAAGTGGAGATACAACAAATATACAACAGCAACATCAAACCACCCCTTCTTTCAGGCACAGAACACAAGTTATAGAGAAAACCACCAAACTAAACTTCAGCTGAGCACCTGGTGATGCATGAACAGGATTTGCAGGACACACGGAAATCTGACTTAAAATGAAACAAGACAAGATACGGCTGCTGTGGATGAGCGGGGAGACTTTGCTGCACAATATGAAGCGATCAGCACTTTGAAACATGACGCTACAACAATCCTCTCCTCAAATGTCCTTCTGGTAAAGCAAACAGAGAATATTTAACTTGTTGTGTTTGTGCTGCGACTCCTTCTCACATTTACATACACAATTCCTCTATAATGCAAATATAAGGCAGGCAACCAATACTGTACGGCAAACCATAATCTTAGAGTGTATTCACCAGCAAGTCTCTCTGTTAGCATCAAGAGCGAAGGCAAAATAAAATAAAAAAGCGACCCTGAGTCGGTTCATGGCCCATTGTTGGGGGGGGGGGAAGTTCCAACAAGCTGCACGTAGAAGGGAAACAAACTATAGGATTAATAATCTTATTTACATTAAATATTCATTTTATTGTGCCGGTAGATATTTAACTTGTGCACTTATACGTGCAGCTTGCCATCTCCCTCCCGCAGGCCAACGCAACTGTTGCAGGATCAGCAGCTCTGATGTGTGTGTTTTCTGTGTGTGAGACAGAACATATGGAGGAGGGGGACCGATGGAGTCCCTTTCACCTCAGTGACCCCTCTGCTGCCTCCACTTCCTCCCCACACAGGTGGGTTGTTCCCGGGCTCCTCCTGTTGTCTCTGTCCCCTCGGTGGACGATGTTTTCAGGGAGGAGGCCTTCACGACCTCAGCCTTAAGATGACGGTGGCGAGGATGAGGAAGAAGGTGTTCCAGCCCAGCGTGACCGCAAAGCCTCGCCACACCATCATCCGAGTGAGACCCCACCCTGAGGGACAGATTTATGTTAATACTATTTAGATACAGGAGGCAACAGGCGACTGTATGTTGGGGGTCAATGTTATTGTTGTCAAAGGTTATTCGCTTTCAGAGTGTCAAAATCCCAAAACTGTTTGTTAAATAAGTTAGTGTGGGGGAAACTTCTGTAGCAATGGAGAGTCAGGACTCAGAGAGACATGAGGAGAGCTGGAGCTTTGATGGCAAACACTGACGGTTCAAGACATGTCACGGGCCACGGTTTGACCACATGGTTGAGATGCCACAATCAATTCTGAAGAACCCTCCTGTAGTTCGAGGTTTTAACTAGTTCAGAGTGTAATAATCAACATTCTTTATCAGCGAGACTAAACAAATATGGACCCTGAATCTAACTGCTGTCGTCCATAGAAAAGAATGTACGCCAGGGAACCTACGTTCCTAAAAAGAAGGGCTTCTAGATGTCCCTGAACAATAAACTATCTCATGTCAGCTTGTGCTCGGTCATAAGCTGGCAACAACAATGCGCTAGTGTTAATTTCGTTGACTTTTTATGGATCTGCAGAAACCTTGAAAATGTAAATGCATAAGTATTAAAAAAAAATGTAATTTACTGATTTTTTTACTCTGATCTTTTTATGTTCTTTGAAACTGTGTATGAGGGATGAAACAAGAGGATAACACACATCTCACTCATGTTCTCAGGCTGTAGTGAATGCGTTCATTTAGAAAACATGAATTGAAATGGGATGAGACACTGAGGCTCAAGTGAATCCAATCAGTGAATGTGGCAGGATGGAGTCGCAAAGTAAGAAGGTTCAGCTAATCCCCCAAATTGAATTGTCGACTTCTGTCTGTGTCTCATCTTCCACCTCCACCTCTACGATAAGGCTCTCAAACAGGAAACAGCTCCTCTGACTTCCTGTTCTGTGTATCGTGTAACACGGAGGGAGCTCTGACTGTCGTCGGTGTTATTGTCCGCAGGCGGCGAGGTAAAGATAAAGACTGAGAAACCGCTTTACGTTACATTCCAGGAAGTTACACTGGATCCAGAGCTGATTAAACATTTAGATCCACTGGCCATGTTGTGTAGAACAATCTGAGCCGTGTGCACACAAATGACCCTTAAAGGTCACCTATTAAGCTAAATCCTCTTCTTCATGTCTCTTCTACATCAACATGTGTCCCCTCTGTGTAAAGAAACTCTGAAAGTTTCAGGAAAAAAGATTCTCTCACTTTCTGTCCTGATCCATTTATATAAAAACCTGTCTGAAAATGAGCTGATCAGATTTTGGCCACTTTATGATGTCTTAACGATTTTTTGTCTTGTGTAACCATTAGCCAATCAGCAACCAAGGTAACCCCCCCCCCCACCTTATCACCTGAATCTCCTCCTAGAGCACCATGGTGTTCTTTTTAACCAAATATCTCTCAGAGGGGCGTGGGGAGGGGCTCCTTATTTTCATCTGAAGTAACAGACAGAGAATCAGCACTTTGGAAACAGGGCTGAAACAGAGGGGATTATGGGATGCTGCAATGATCTGTTTGGTGTTTGGAGCCAAACACTTCAGAGACATGTTTTGTATCTGAGACCTATAATATATTGATGAAAAACAGTATAATAGGGGACCTTTAAAAACACGCTAACCACACACGTTAGGGGCCAGGTGAGTGTTGTGTAACGTGTGGTGTGTGTTACCTCGGTACATGATACAGCGAAGGGCTTCGGAGGCGTAGGTCTGAGGCAGAGCGAGGCTGAGGTAGCGGAGCGGATACGGGATACACTCCACCGGCCAGATGATACCTGAGCACAGGACAGGAGTTACACATGTACAAGAACTCTTATAATACAGTGTTTATATTCAAAATGAGCCTCATGAAGCACTCAAACTATATCTGGTTTCCCTTTTCTTGAATTCATTTGTTTAAAGCAATAACATCTTATACAATCCACATAGTTGTATATTATTTGAATGAGCAGTGCTTTTTTCCCCCTGTACAGTTACCTAGCGTACCTACTCCTGCATTTTTACCTGCAGAAATTAGCATTTGCTCTATTCTTTTGTAATGTTTTCTTTTAAGTATTAAGTATATTCATGCTGCATCGTTAGAAGAGCTTAGGACTTCAGATTTTTTTATTGTCAACAAATACGCTGTAGATATTGTGCATATGACAATAAAGCTTTTTAATCTTTGAATCTTTTAACTTGAATCTTAAATCTCTTTGATTTGTATTGAAGTTAGGAAGTAGCAACAAAAATAAAATTCCCTATAAAATAATCTCACCACAGGGTCCTTTCCCATTTCCATTTTCTTTTTCCTGACCACTTTAAGGACTTCTGGGGTTCAAAGACGCAGATCATGTGATAGGAAGGAAAGTCCCTTAACAGCTACAACAGGGTTCTTATGGTAAGATGTTCTTAATTGCTATTTCCAAGTTAAAGAACAATCTTCAAACTTAGGCTTTAGAGTCAATAATGGAAGATTTATTTATAACTTTCAGGAGCACAGCCTGCTTAAGCTGCTGGATTCACTGAAGGGTCGACAGTTTATTGATCTGACACACACATACACACACATGCTACTTGATACCTTCGCTATTACTACTTCTCAGTGGAAAATATCCTTCCTTTGCAATTAATCAAAAATATTGGCAACATATTAAACATCTACAGCATTAAAGCAATCCAAAAACGTCATATATATATATTAGTAAAACACTGACAGGGAACACATTACGGACACACACCACACACACACACACACACACACACACACACACACACACACACACACACACACACACACACCCACACCCACACACACCCACACACACACACACCCACACCACACACACACACACACACACACACACACACACACACACACACACACACACACACACACACACACACACACACACACACACACACACACACACTGCAGGCCTACCGCTGAGGATGAGGTTGGGTATAGAAGATGCCGAGGGCGGCCCTGGTTTGGCGTTCTGCTCGTCGTCGATGGCGGCGGAGATGACGAGGCCGAAGGAGATGCCGGTGACGCCCTGCAGAACGATCAGAACTATCACCAGAAACAGGGACCCTTCGTTAGGCATCTGCAGAGAGGGGGGGGGGGGGGGGGGGGGGGGGGGGGGGAGAGAGTGAGAGAAGATACACAAAGAGGCTGTTTTCATCCACAAAGCTGCAGAGGACCCAAAAGTGGGTAAAACATTTATTTTACACATTATTGTTACATGCATGTAGTGGATAAGGGTTGTGCTTTTTAGCATATTACAGGTCTTGGGAAGTAATAATTCATGTGTAAAACATATATATACCTATAAAAAGTTATTGTTTTGCCTTCCTGTTCATCAATTATGAGTATACGCACTTACACAGTTGCATAACGTACATAACCAACCTTACTAACTACTGATTTGCATATTTATATTTAAGAATAATATTGATACACCTATTTTTTTGCTTTGTTTCTTCCATCACATTTCATATCTTCATTCCATTTATCTATTTTCCTGTTTCTGTCTATTCCCATGTAGTTTAGGTCACTACCTTGGTTTGTGAGCTGCACTTTGCACAATACAAAATACATAAATAAACAAATACATATTTTGTTGCTCCTGAGGGAAGTTTGATGTCTGATCAATTGATCAAGTGATGTCCCAAAGGTTAGCATCAGTTGTCGCTGAAGACTACAAGTTTGAACATTTTCTGGGGTTTTGGAGTTTGGAAGAAGTGAGACCTCTGCAGCTGTGAGTACATCAAAACCAAATGTTGCATTGTGGGAAATGTAGGCGCCAGGATTTAACAAAGAAAATAAATCACAAAATCCATGTGAGTAAAAACAATATCTGTGGTTCTGCAGAATCAAATTAGATGTTACACTATCTGTCGTAAGTCAAGTCTCAATGATAAATCAGAGGATAACTCCTTTAAGGACCACGGAGAAGATAAGATCAAGAAGAAACGCAGAGCCAGATAAAGGGAACACAGAGACAGAAACACTCTGATGCTCTGCACTGATAGAGGGCTAAAAATACTGCAAGAAATAAAAAAGAGAAATGTCACGGCAGATTAAGTTTGGTTGTAAATCCCACAGACGGAGAGGAGGCGCCACAGGAGATGGGAAACTATTTTAAATCAAATAAACACACAGAGAAATGTCTCAAGATTAAAGGTGATAACTCTCCTAACTGGAGAAGAATCTGCAGGCGTTTGTAAGACTGTGTGTGTGTGCGTGTGCGTGTGCGTGCGTGTGTGCGTGCGTGCGTGTGTGTGTGTGTGTGTGTTGGTGCACTTGTCCCCGGTGTGTCAAGACACTATCCGTCTCCCCTGACAACGTGCAAAAATAGACCTGCACCGATAGTCCACATGACCGCTTGGTTGCCACAGCAATCAAGGGCATGTTGTCGTGGCGATCCCGCAGTGATCCCTGGATACGGCTAAAGCAGGAAGTGATTTATGTGGTGGTGGTCTCTTTGGACTTCAGCACCTTAATCAACACACGCATGGACACACACACACTGACAGATGGAGACGAGGGCACACACCCATAAAGAGACACACACACACACACACACACACACACACACACACACACACACACACACACACACACACACACACACACACACACACTATCCTCTCTTGTCTGAGAGCCTTCTTCCTGTATTGATTTCGCACACATGTGGATTAGAAATCGATGAACACACCCTCAGGTTTCCAACAGTAAACCTCACCCTGCTGACCTTCACAGAGAACGGTCTTAAATGTCCTCTCCTGTACATCGACACATGTCTTTTTCTTCCGGAAATATATTTTAATCTTTGGGATAAATTGATCAATATGCGTTTTAGAACTTAATGTTTTGCAGGTAAAGTCAGATATTTTACGATGTAGTAAAAATGCAAATGACTTTCTTCATATGTGACACATTAACCTTCAACATGTCAAACTCTCCATAAACCAATCAAATCAGTGACCTATGAGAGGCTTTATATGAACCTGCCAGTCTCAGAAAACGGCTTTAGAAGTTAAATAGTACAGGAAATATGACACAATTAAATTACACAATACATCCCGTGGTCTGTTTTGAAGAGCACACAACACAGGAAAATGATTAGTTTAAATGTGTATCTGTAAAAAATAAATGTTTAAGTATGGAAACAGTCAGCTTTGTTTATTTAATCAAACAATTCTTCCTTTTAAGACTTTATTTCTATTGATTTTAGGATGTTTTTGTTCTATATTTTCTACCCTGCAGATCTTATTTTTGATGCTGCACAGACTAATTTTCCAATCAAAAAAGGTCATCATATCTGAAGAGTGTGTGTGTGTGTATGTGTGTGTGTGTGTGTGTGTGTGCGTGTGTGTGTGTGTGTGTGTGTGTGTGTGTGTGTGTGTGTGTGTGTGTGTGTGTGTGTGGATGTGTGTAGCCTAGCATTACTATCCTTGTGGGGACCTAAATCTGTTTACACAGTCACGTGTGGGGACTCGCCTCCCTTATGGGGACATATTGGAGGTCCCCATGAGGGGAATCATTCATTTTAGGGTGAAGACTTGGTTAGGGTAAGGGTAAGGTTTAGGGTAAGGGTTAGGCATGTGTTGGTTAAGGTTAGGATAAGTCTCCAGGAAATGCATGTAAGTCAATGTAATGTCCCCTGAAGTGATGTATACATGGTGTGTGTGTGTGTGTGTGTGTGTGTGTGTGTGTGTGTGTGTGTGTGTGTGTGTGTGTGTGTGTGTGTGTGTGTGTGTGTTTGTGTGCGCATGTGTGTGTGTGTGTGTGCGTGTGTATGTGTTTTACTGCGTGTTTCAGGGGGACGGACCTTGAAGACGAGCAGGATGAAGAGCAGCAGCAGGAGGATCTGAACGCTGATGACGAACAGCTGAGAGAAGAGGTGAGCCAGCATCGTCTCCAGAGAGCTCACACCTGGTGCACAAATCAAAAAATTAAGCATTAACAATAACTGATAAGGTCTCTCCACATTTTAATAACAACAACTATTCATTTCACAGCTTCTTGTTCTGTTATAAATTATCTTAAAGCTCTGAAACGACTCCCTTAGTGTTTGCTGGTAAACATCATCGTGCTGCTCTGGTGAAGGGACTCCCTCTACTGGTCAACTCTCAGATTACACTTACATGATGCATGAAATGGATTCAAGTCAATATGTAATGTCTATTAAAAACAGTGGATGGATTTGAATCAAATTATGATCCAAAAAAAGATCCATACGTTCCCAAACAACCGCAATAGTGTTTACAAATCAGCGTTTTTAGAATATTTAAATAGGACTTGAAAAATGTTTTGGTTGAAGAGATTTTATCTATTTTTTTATTTTTCCTGAAAATGTTGCACCAATTTTCACAATTATTCATTCTTACAGAGTAGGAAAATAGTTTTTTAATACTCATATTGGATTCGTTGGGTGTAGTTTGTGAAAGCACATCATCTCATTTACGGCCATCAAACACTGGAATATTCTTCCAGTTGAACTTAAAACCTGTCCTGACTTTAACTCATTCTCTTATGGTGCAAATAAATTGATATTAAGCAACCAGTCATGCCAACATTAATTACACTGTAATCTTGAGTTTTTTTATTTTAAAGGTCACCTATCATGCTATTTTTAGGCAATATCATAGGTCATGAAAACATGTCTATTAAGTGTTTTGCTCAAAATACCGAACAGATCACCCATTCTAGCCATGCCTCATATCCCTCTATTTCACTTCCTGTTTCAAAAGTGCTGATTTGGGGTATAAAGCTTTAACAAATAAAATAAATTGATAAAAAATAAAAAGGAGGGGTCTGAGCTCATGCGGGACCCGGCAGCTACTGTCTAAACTAAATTCTGCCGTGATGAAACGCCATATCATGGATTATCAAGGATTATTTCTGAAACAGTATGGAGCTCAAAGGCTTTCTCTCTTGCCGGTTATACCACAAGGTGAGTTGCTTTTTATTTCCTGCTTCTTCACACACATGCTCTCCAGTACAGGTTAGCTCTGAGTGTTAGCGATGCTAATGTAAACACCGACCATATTACGTCCAAAACAGTCGGGCATTGTTTCTGATAGCAACGTTTCTGATAGGGCCGTGGGTCCACATTTCCGATATTACGTCATATCGGACGCAAATCTGGATCAGCTCCGTTGTAGCCCCGTTTTTAGAGATTTGGGTACGGAGGAAAAGAGATAGGGTTTTATTTTCTGACGCTGCGTGAGTTCCCTGACACACCGGGGACACATATTCATGTATAAAAGACATCAAAAAGTGCATTTTGCATGATAGGTCCCCTTTAACTGTATTGTAATATTATATTTTAACTGTACTATGTATTATTTTATTTACCTGTACTTAAATCATGTTTTATAATTGTCTGTGTGATAGAGATTATGCAATGTTTTTAGCGTTTGTTGATTGTTATGTACCTGTCTAAGGACTGCAGATGGAAATGAGCTATTAGCTCAAATCTGGCATAATTCATCTCTTCTCTTTTCTGAGATTGCATGGTCCTTGTTGAAATACATAATAATAAAACCTGCAGTGTGACTCCATGCAGCTTTGATCCCTCACCTGCGACCCAGCAGCGGTCCATGAGCCCCTCCTTCCTCTCGATGACGAAGGAGAGCGCCGTCAGACCCACAGCCAGGAAGAAGGTGATACTGCAGGGTGAGAGAGGAGGAGGAAGAGGAAGAAGAGAGGAAGGCACTGGATGTTAATTGACTTGGTGTCATAAGGATTCAAAATAATAAGAAAGCTGTTCTACTACTTCTCTTAGTTAGTTTCATTCCACAGGCCATAAGACTGTTAAACACCTGAACTAAGAACATCCATAACGTTCACCTGTTTGCAACTTACAAATTATGTATCACTTGTATATAGACTCTTATGGCACTACTTCTATTCTATTTGATTTTATTTACTTGCACTATTATCTGTTTTATTGTGTTGCACTGTTGGAGGAGCCTGTGACCTAAGATTTTCATCGACATAACTACACTGTAGCTATGTACGAATGACATATAAAAGCCTTGAATCTTGAATCTTCTCTAAGTACGGTGACCTGTCTGTTTGGCATCAAACTGACCTGAGAACAGCTCCGGGCGTCACAAAAGTGGAGAAGTCTGTGTGTTGGCTGCCATAAATCGGCTCTTCCATCTACAAGACGACAGAAACAAAGGATTAAATCGAATTTAATATGTCTTTTATTGTTGTTTTGCATTCATGTATATATACAAAATGTGTTTTATGTGCTTCAATATTTGTATTATAATTCCATATTTACCTTTATTGGTAGCGCGACCATGTACGACATACTGCCCAATTTATAATCCACAAAAGACTGCGAATAGAGGACACAATAACAGTCTTTATTGGGGTGAAAGATATTTGGTTTAATGATAACAAATATATATAGTAATAATAATAATCATATTTATTTCTACCTGAAAGGCTTCGTAAACTTTTTTCTGCAGCATCAGTGCAATTTGTTGATCTATACAAAACATAAAGAGCAAACAAATCAAGGGATATTTTATTACACATACATACATAATAATCTTAATAGTTGTATGATATTTAAAGCAGATGTAAATAACTACATGCAATGCAAAATATGCCAATAGTACAATATAATTAATGGCAAGACATTTAAAAAATAGGCCAGATTATGTCTTCATTCAAAAACTACTTTAAAGGTAGGGTAGGTAAGAATGGAGAAACCAGCTCGAGTGCGCTAGAATTTGAAAGTACGCAGCCGAAAAAAATCTGCCCCTTCCTTCAGACTTCCTTACAGAGCCCCTCCTCCAACACACACGAACGCGCACATGACCAATGAGGGCACGAGATAAGTTTGTGCACGAGATGGAAGGCTGACAGGCAGGTAGGCCATCCAGTTATTTTAGCCGGGCCGGCTCAGATGATTGGTCGTGCTTTTTACAGCGTCACGGCTTCCACAGATGACATTTATTTATGTATTTAATGTCAAAGCATTTAATATATTCATTGCTATCGGGATGTTAAGAGCATTCCATGGAATATAACAAAAAGTGTTTCTGAAGTGAATTACCTACCCCACCTTTAAGTTGCACCAATGAGCTTTTGCCATGCATTTAATAGCATTATTTCAGTGTAAATGTATGTAAATGTACTCATTTTAGCAAAAGCACTACAAACTATGAGATGTCTTACTTGTCAGGTCCAGCCAGACGTGTATTGATCCTCCATCGAGCACTTCTCTAGAAACCTGCCGCGACATCATCCTGTAAAAAAAAGAACAGGGTCATAATCTGAAAATATATTTAATGTTCAGCGACTATCAACACAACTGGAATATTTCAATACAAGAAAACAAGAAGAGGGGTGAGATGCTGAAGATGCAGAATATTGTCTGGAGGTTATCTGCACATCACAAGCTGTTTACAGGAACATTACACGACAGACGGACAGAGATGGTGATGAAAGACCATAAAACAATGCATTTTGGTATTAACTAGTGTCCTACATAAAAGTTTAACTGAATATTGAATGAAATGTGAATATTGTTGTCTGAAAACATACATTTTTTCTGAAGGCAAAACAAAGAACAGTTGCTAAATGAACCATAAAGTTACATCTACAATTGACATGTGTTGTGTTTTTTCCTAGCTGTCTAAATGTTACAACTCCACTTGGAATAACACCCATACTTTATATGTATCATTATTTAAAGAGATGTATTTATAACGTGTTATTTTCTCCTTTTATAATGAATGTATAGATAGTTACATTTCCCTCACAAGGTAGGTAAGGTGCCATGCCTCGTCCACACAGTAACTAATAAACAATGAACTGATGCAAACTGTTCACATAATAAAATCACATAAGGATAACACTGTGAACATATTAGATCTTTTTCTCATGACCCGCATGACACCTTTTGTTTTTCTCAGGCAGTGGAGTCACATGACTTTTTGTTGCTCAGCTGTGACAGGTGTGTTAGGGACAGGAAGGACCAGACTGTCTACCCAGGACACACACACACATACACACACACACACACACACACACACACACACACACACACACACACACACACACACACACACACACACACACACACACACACACACACACACACACCTGAAACAACAACGTATGCCCTTGCACTCTGTTGAGTCACCCTCACATGACTATAGTGTGTGAGAGAGTTGTTTGGGTTAGATTTATGCTTCAAAGTCAAAGACAGAGAGCGACATGGCATCAGAGGGACAACTCCCTGACGAAGGATTGATGCAGAGCTTGTTTTTAGGTCTAACATGACTTTGCCATAACAATGAATGCATTTATATTTATGTAAGAACATAGTGCATGGAGTTTTCTTTATAAATACCATGTTGAACTTTAACCAAAAACGCTCCACATGTGAAGGAGGTGAAAACAAACACTTCAAGCTTCCAGTGGATCATAACGAACTAAAAACACTTCACGTGAAATGGCTTAAAGTTGCAGCTAGGGGCGCTACAGCAGGGAGCAACAACATTCAATTTGACTTGTGACTGTTTTTCAATAACAGACCAGTAAGGATTGTCTGGCTTTAATCTCCAAAAAGACATACAAAATAGTTTTGAATTGATTGATCTATGTGCAACAAAGAGAAGCACAATGCAGGAGTTTGCATTTGTGTTTTGTTATACTTACGCTTTTTGAATTTGGTTATACATTGGTCTCCTCTTGCTGATGTTAGCAGACACCTACAGTGTGTCTTCATATCCCGTACATTGTTTGTTGGGTTAATATTGTTTCACTACTGTATATATTCTAATATACATAGTTTTACCTATTTGTTGTTGATATATATTGAAATACATCTGCCCATTTTTACTTTGACTGTCTATATAAATATATTTATTTTATATTAATTCTATTCTAAACAAGAGCAACCGTTTCTATCTCTAATTCCCCCCGGGATAAATAAAGTATTTCTGACTCTGATTTGTATTCTGATACGAAAGAAGCAGACCATTTTAACTATGGGAGAGAAGTATTTGATGGATAACCAACAAGATATTACCTTTTTTTGGCATTTATCAAATAATTATTAAGTGATTTCTGTGGTATTGAGAATACCTGTTTCTCTCACCTTTTCGTCAGGTAGCTGGTGAAGTTCTCCCCGAAGCCGATGACGCCCCAGTACTCTCCGTTATAAATCCCTTCAAAAGCTTCTGTATGGTTCAAGTTCACCTGTGGATACATGAAAAGCAAATGATATATCATACTCAATAATTTAACATTTGTATATCAAGTGAATGCGACTTTATTCCAGCGACAGTGGGCTGCATATTTCTAAAGATTCTAATGTTGTTTATTGAGCAGTTTCACATACTCTCTCTTCACATGTTTTATACAGTATATTGAAAGGTTGAGGTTCAACGTGAAGCAGAGAAACAACCTTTCCTCTTCACTGATTTCCTCGAATATGAAAGTCTTAGTGTTTGATTCAACAGAAGTGAAACCAACCGGCCGACACCTGGCACTTCCTTTTCTAGCCTGAAATACTTCAGATACCATCAGTCAGTGTGAGCCCAGAAACAAACACACTTCTTTGCAGTCTGGTTGTGTATACAGTTACAATCTGTCATGCCAGATTGAACAATCATAATAAATCAACAAGAGGAAATAAACCTGAATCAGTTTACAGAATATCTGCTACATGGAAGAAATACTACCACTCTCTTTTTAACCTGTTAAGCCCCACGCCTGTTTTTCAGGCCTCAGGCTCGAAAATGACATTCCCAGAACAAATTACCATATCTTCACTTCTAAAGGGGGTAAATGAATAATCTTTTTTCTCAAAGCAATGATAAACCTGTGAGTTGGATGTAGAAAAGTCAGAATCAATATATAATTGTTTTATTGTAAAGTAAATTCAGATTGAACATAGTAAAAAAATGTAAATGATAGTGTCCGTCATTACTTATAGTGAAAACCACCCTTGAATGATGGGATAGTAGACTAAAAGCTTTAGGAATCCAAACTATAACATATAATAAGTACCCTGTATCAAGATTGATGCGAAACAAGTGACATTTGACCTTTTTAGAGAGGTTTAGCAACAAAAAAAACACATTTGGGGTCATTTGAGTGGATTTGGGTGGATTTGCCGGTTCTCTGGAACCCATTGGTTGATTTTGGTGATTGACACCTCTTTTTAACCGTTAGAGCCAATAGGATCGAAGGGGATGTTCCACATACACACACACACGTTACCATTGACAAGTGAGAGCTATGCGCACGCAGTCGAAAGCAATGTTATGCTCTGAAAACTGAAAACTGAAACCTTAAACCTGAAACCTGAAACCTAAACTCAAACTAGTAAATATGAAGATGGATTATCAGGAATCATTTCAAAGTGACACAGACACATTGGAGTAACCTATGGATTAACCTTCAGCAGCGTTTTTATCGTTTTGATGCCATTGCACACACATTTTGATCAGAACAACAGCTAAGGTAAGAAGCTTCCTCTGTGAAGCTACGTGTTGTTATGTCTGTTTTCGCTTCCCCTGTCGCGAGTTCGGATCGCTCAGTGATGATACTAATATTTCTGGAATCTGTGGAATCTCAGTTTGCTAATCGATATCTTGTTTTTGCAGATACGATAAGTAATAGGGGTATTTAAGCTGTGAGTTCTGTGCTAAGTGCGATAGCATTTTTTCGCTCAGGGCTCATTTAGACGCTTCTTGTGAGACTTGTGTTTTGTTTCGGTAAAAATGGTTCGTATCGTCAGTTAGCTGAGTTTCTTCCCGTTAAGTGAGTATGGAACATTAATAGTTTCATAAATGTCAGCAGAAAGTATTACAAATAATGATTACAAAAATGCAAAAAAAAAATAAAAAAATATATAAAATATATTTTAAGATCATGTTTAATCATCTGATTCGTCTGTACATTGCTGTTTTAGTCTGTGTTCTTCTAATTAGTGTGTCTACAGTCACAGTGTGTGCCTATTGAGCTGTTTAGAGCCATGTGGGACAAAACCTGATTATGCCCCTTCTAGTGATGTGTCGGTCGCGAACGAGCCGGCTCAAAGAGCCGGCTCTTTTAAGTGAACGACGGGAGCCGGCTCGCGCCCGCGAACGAGCTGTTTTTTTTTTTTTTTTTTTTTAATTTAAAAAAAAAAAAATTTGATTTTTTTGATTGATTGATTTGTGATTTTTTTCATCACAAGACAGAATGATATGATGATCTCCGCGCTACAGCTGCTCCGTGCATGCATGCAGTGACATGTAATATCCAAGGATTAGAGACTGTTGGATGCTGCTGTTTTGAGCATTGCATACATTTATTTTTATTATGTTTTTTTATGATTAGAGACGGTTGGATGCTGCTGTACTGAGCATAGCAATATATTTATTTTCACTATGTTATTTATTTATGATTATCCTTGGGCTCAGCAAAGATTTGATGTCAGCTGTTGCTGTCTTTTTTTCTATAGTTAATACTGAAATAGAGCCCTGCTGTTTTGTCAAGGCCCTTTCTTTAAATATAATTTTAAAATGTCGATACAGTAGCCCTTTTTTTTAAATGTCTATGCTTAAGTTTTTGTGTTGCTATCTGCTTTGTGTAGCGTGGTTCTACAAGCAAGTCAGTGCATTCATTGGATGGTATCAGAGAGATACAAGGGTCTGTAAATGCAATGAAAACAATTGGCCACAGCAAATAATTGATATTAAACATGTAATTTTTACTTTTGAATACTTCAGTACAAAGGATGTATTGAATAATTTAAGTGATATGTGTACACATATAAATCATTAGTCAAAACAGGGCTACATTTGATTGAATTATAAAAGGTATAATATGTGGTAAACTGAAGAGCAGTTTGGGAGCCGAAAGAGCCGGCTCTTCTTGGTGAGCCGAGCCAAATGATCCGGCTCACCAAGAAGAGCCGGAATTCCCATCACTAGCCCCCTTCCTCTCGCTGTGAAGTGAACGTTGACTGTAAAAACTACACTGCGCATGCTCAGAGTATTTTGTAATGTAATGTGTGTGGCAAAAAAATAATGACCAGAGGGGCACGGAGCTACCATCCCCACCATACGTCATCTCAAATCATTCAGAGCTGATTGGCTGTAAGTACGTGTGCCGCGAAAAGTGTGCTGTGTGAAGAGGAGACGAGAGAGCTGCAGTGGCGCGTCCTAAAACCAGGAAGTAAGCACAAAAAAGCAATGAGATTTCTCCAGAGGATTTTAGAAAATAGCTCGAAATAAGATCTGTGGGAAACGTACCTGTTAGATAAATGCACGTTTTGATTAGCCGGATAACATCCACATGTCTACCCTACTTTTATAATTTTTTTATCATAAATCTATGGATTAGATTTATGATAGACTTTTGAAACTACAAGAAGATAAGGAGGACTTTTACAAAAAAGTAATAGAAATGTTTGTCCAGAAGGATAGGCAAATGGACTTCATCTTCAAGTCAAGGTAAGACCGCCATTTTATTGAAAATGGGATCTTACTAAGAGAGAACAATTCAATATTTAAATGATAAAATTACATTTTTTGGGTATCCTTTTGTTGAACTGTCTGTTTAAAATTAATCGAAGCATCAGACAAAAAAAGCTTTTGAAAATAATATTATATTTTGGTTTAGGTCAAAATATAATATTTGTAAACCTGAAGAGTCAGTGCCAGTGCCTCACCAGCCATGAACCTCACTGCACGTCACTGCAGAAGCTTATATATAGACATCTAAGTTTTTTGTGCCCCACCACTTTTGTACATATAAAAACGCCACTGCCTGAGACACAGTTTCGTGAAGAAAAAAGACTTTAGTAGCAAGTCAAACAGGAGGAATTGACCATTTTAAGGTGGGATTCAACCCCAATCTACCACAAGGACATGGTGTTGTGACCTTATGACCTGGAGGGGTCTAATAAAAACCAAAGAATACGACATCTTGTGGGCCCACAATATACAGTGCAGAACAGTACGGAAAATGGCAAAAGCTAAAGAACAAAAAAAAGTCTATTGCTTCAGTTATTAGCCTGTAATTTGGAGATCTTCACAATCAAATGAACGTGCATCTGCAGTTGATTTAAACTTCTTATGTATTCATTTCAGGTGTCAACACACTCATATTTATAATATAAGTCAGAATTACATTTATGGAGCAAATCTGGAGTAAATGTACTACTTTAGTGCTTTACTGAAATACTACTTTGATTCTTCCTGTTGATTAACTTTCCTTATTCTGTCAACTCTTATAAAGAAGATGGGATTTGCTCAATGCCAATGTGTGATCAATGCCTGGCATTTAGTATGGTGTTTCTCTCTGTTGAAGAGAGAAAAACTCCCCACTTCCTCTTCGGTTGTGACACATAAACATGAGGGGGTAATGTTCCATGATGGGTATAAATAAAGTTAAGTATTGAATACCTGGACCACGCTGGAGTTGTCCAGAAAGGAGAGCAGTGATTGGCTGTAAGAGGAGGGGGAGGTCTCGTTGTTCACCACGGCAACCTGGATCCCTTTTGGGTCAGCTCCGATGCAAACACAGATCAGAGACACCTGGATGACGGGCAGCAGGAACTGGAAACACAACGAGCTGCCAACACAAAGGGAAATTATGTTAATGATGTGGGCACATTAACACTTGCTATACTATTGTGCGATTGTCAAGTCTTCTCCGATTTTCCCCTCTTGAAAAGGGACTTGAAACATCTACTGGACCTTTGACTGGATTCCACTCCAATGACACAGCAACTGTTAGTTGCTCAGTCTTTTATTTCAGTAGTTTACTTGAAAACAAATGTCCACTTAGTTGCTGAATGGGTTAACTGTTACATACCCCGGCATTCTCTTCATCCGCACCATTGTTTTGATCATCAGGGCGGCGATGTTTCTCCACTTGGGCATAACGTGTCTGGCTTGCACCTTCCAGTCCGCTGAACACACAAACACATTTTAAAACACAGCAATGATAAGCACATTGTAAAAGGTGGTACCGTTTGTAAAATGCACACAAATAAACATTAAATATCCATGTTAAGAATATTATTTATTGTACAATCAAGAAAAGAAGCTGAATGGAACTGAGGTATATCTTATTCTTGTTCAGCTGTTTTTGTTTGTATTTAAACATCCATATGTTAAATTATTACATGTTGATATTGTCGCCTGTTTCCTGACCCTGCCTGTACCCGGACTATTCTGCCTCGCCTGCTCCCTGACCCTGCGTCTCCCGTCTTGCCTACTCCTGGAACCCTCGCCTGTCCCCGACCAGCCCTTTGCCTACTGTCTGCCGGTTTGTCTTACACCACAACTTTTCAGTGGAAACTAGTTATAATAAAGCTGGTTACCGACTTTCCCTGGTCTCCCTTGTGTTGCATTTTGGTTTCCAGCTTGTTCGTGACAGATATTCATGTTTATGATGGAGGCGTGTGGCGTAGTGGGTTGTGCGTTGGTGTTGGGATCAGGGGAGCACAGGTTCAAACCCCACTGCAGTCAGCATGTCGTTGTGTCCCTGGGCAAGACACTTCACCCCAAAATTGCTCCTGTGGGGATTGTCCACAGTATTGAGTATGTAAGTCGCTTTGGATATAAGCGTCTAACAAGTGACATGTAATGTAATGATGTACTTCTATTGTTCAAATGCTTTTACTGTTTTGTGTAAAGCATTTTGAGTTACCTTGTTGAAATGTGCTTTATAAATAAACCTGCCTTTCCTCTTAACGGTCATATTTACATATTTTTCACACCATTCATATTTGTATCATCCCGAAACAACATGCAGATTGTAAGACTCGTAAAAAATGATGGTCATATTTTGAAACTTTTTTTCCCACACTTCAAACTGGTACCTGAATATTTCGGAAGTTCCTCTGGGGTTCCCGGTCCGACGGCGAGAATCGGCAGACTCTCTTCTGGTCTGCTCTCGAATGATTGGCTGTTCTCCAGTGCCCCCCCCTCTGGACTGTCCCCCCGCTTAGAGCCCATCTGATCCGACGTCTCACACAGACGCAGGAAGGCGTGCTCCAGCGTCTGAGGAAAGATGTGAAAATGAATCAGAATCAGGTTTATTACCAGGTAGGTTGACATTAAAAAATGTGAAAAATATAGTAAAATAAAATATAGCAGTATTTACATAATGGTGAGGAGGGCTCAAACTACCAATATACAGTATGTAAACATGACAGCAACATATCAATCAGATCAACATTATCTCATAGCTGCATTGATCATGAATATTGAAGGTTTTTTTATGCATGGCCCTCGTTTAATAAACACTAAAAGTAGGTATAATGAGGATGTATGTTATTCTGCTTTACATATTTATGTAATATTCAATATAAATTATGAAAGGAGGCTGTGGCTAAGTGGATAGTGTGCTGGACTTCAAATCAGGGGGTAGCAAGTTCAAGTCCCACTGCAGTCAGCATGTCGTTGTGTCCCTGGGCAAGACACTTCACCCCAAATTACTCCTGTGTGGATTGCCCACAGTACTGAATGTATGTAAGTCGCTTTGGATAAAAGCGTCTAACAAATGACAATTGAGCAAATTAGCGCTCCTGAAACACACTGTTTGTTTGTTTATTCAAAGGATTGACCAGAAGTTAAACAGGTTTTGACCACACACATACATCAAGGCAACATCTCACTGCCGAAGTTTAGTTGTGTTTCTGAACGTCATGTTTTGTGTGCTTATTGGAAAGCTGGTTCAAATGAAAGGTAGACAGTTCAACAGGAAAGCAAACGGACTGAGCGTTCAGTTGGAAACTTTCCTATCAGACTTTTTAATTAGTCAGTGTAGGTAATAAGCCCGTCCATTATAACAACAAAGCGGCGCCTCAGGGGCTTAAAGCGCTGGCTGAGCCTCTACAGAGAGCAGCTTGAATTGTTTATGAGATGTTTCACAGTACAGGTTATACCTTCCTTTGTGGTCCCATTAACAACCTCCCCTCCCTGACTACCAGCACCCCTGGGTGTCTGTACGTCCCTTCAGGGTTTAAAACACACACTCACTGCGGCGTTGTGCATCTTCATGACGGCGTCTGGAGTTCCTTCAGCCAGCAGACGGCCGTTCCTCATGAGACCCACCTGGAGAAAAACAGCAGCGAGAATATTAGATCAATGGGTGACATCGCTTTCCTCCTATTGCCTTCGTTTTCCCCCCCCTTACTTTGGTGTTCGCGGTCAAATTTGACCGGTCCTGTTTTAACTACTATTACATTAACACAAAAAACATTAATCATCACCAAATTTCATTTAACACCCTTTCAAACTGTAAATATTGTATCAGACTACTGGTATACATGAACAACTGCAGTAAATATACAAAGAATAGACACTGAACATGTATTGCGTGTGCCAGGTGTGATCCATGTGGGGGGATGGGCACATAAGAGCGGGAAATGTATCAAATCGTTCCGTGTGTGTGTGTGTGTGTGTGTGTTTGTGTGTCAGTGTTTACTTATGGCTTGATCATTACCTATCTGTGCAAAATAAACACAACATTAGCATTAAAGTAACAGAAATATATCCTTTCACACAGACTGCACATCTTAGTACATATGCCAATACTCTGTGACTTCCTTACCCCTTCAAATGTGTCACAAATAGACTGTTTTTAGTCTCAATAAAAGGATGAATAAATTGTTAAAACTGCTGGGCTCTGTAGATATCAGCAAACATTTCTCAAACAGGAGTAAACTGCATTGTGGGGGACTATTTTCAGAGGTGGATTAGTACACGTGTGGTGCTTTAGTTAGTATTTACAGCAGCACGATGGTGTAAGAAGGGTCAGCAATAAATACATTTTGAATGCTTTTACAACAATAATGGAGCTTTATGGCACAAAGGAACACGATTGTTTTGGCTTTGGATCTTGTTGGTAGCATCTACTAATTGTATCTTCTAAAACTAAACTAGTAACTCAAAATATGAGCAAACCTTTAGTTCATTCAAAACTCTGCGCCTATACAAACTCCATTGGAAGCTTTTAAACTTATAACAAGATGCATATATCAATGGACTCACTGTTTTCTTTATGAAACATGCGGACCAGTGCGGACATAGTGCTTTGTTCTATTGATGTTTCATGTATGGGGCTGTGTGTGTGTGTGCGTGTGCGTGTGCGTGTGCGCGTGTGCGTACGTGCGTGTGTGTGTGTGTGTGTGTGTGTGTTAATTTAATTTTAGGGTGAAGACTTGGTTAGGTTAAGGGTTAGGGTTAGGCATGTGTTGGTTATGGTTAAGGTTAGGACAAGTCTCCAGGAAATGCATGTAAGTCAATGTAATGTCCCCTGAAGTGATGTATACATGGTATGTGTGTGTGTGTGTGTGTGTGTGTGCGTGCGTGTGTGTGTGTGTGTGTGTGTGTGTGTGTGTGTGTGTGTGCGTGCGTGCGTGCGTGCGTGTGTTTGTATGTGTGTGTCCATGCATGTATACAGTATCTCACCACATTGGCTTGCCTGGCCTCCTCGATGTAGTGTGTGGTGATGATGACAGAGACTTTCCCCGTCTTCACAATCTCCACCAGATGCTGCCAGATCCTGGAGGAAAGAGCGGAGGAACCCAACAGATTACATAACGCCTTCTAATCCGTTTCTAGGAGAGTTTTCCTAAACTTTCCGTCAGAAAGAGCTCACAGCTTCGCCAGCAGAAGTTTTCCTGCCAAGCTACGGATCTGCTGAGGCTCTGAGCTGCTTTTAAACAACCAGACAGGAGCTGCATACTGAGCAAGAGCAGCTTGCTTTTAACAAGGTTTCTGACAGATTTTCTACAACAAGTGAATAAGAAAGAAAGATGGAAGTTAGAAGCTCAATTGGAAATGTTATTTGAAGACATAATTTATCTTTAGAAACAAGTAAGGCTGAAAAATGACAACATATAGTTAGTAATGAATGTAATCAGGGTCTTAATTGTTTTAATTTGAATTGTTCACTAAGGGATATTGATTTAGATTTTGGTATTTCATTTTGCCAGGAACATGCAGCTCTTTTGCCGATGTTACTACTAGCTTAATATATTCTGTCCGTAAATATAAATCTCCCTTTAGTTTTGAATGTTTTTATAAGGGGGATTTGTGAAATGACAGATGTTTACATGCTCATATAAACATCAGGGCTGTACATTCCTTTCCCAAGGGGGAACTAAACTGGAGAACAGCATTGGAAAGAAAGTATGTGGACATGCTGCATGATACCACACTGATACAAACTAAAAACACATAACCTTTTTCTCCTATTGTCTCTAAATCGAGCACTTAAAGTAGATCAGCATATTTGGATATTTGGAAGTTGATCGTTCCTGCATTTTTTGGCTGTACCCACATGTGTGATTGCACTTATTGTAATAATAAAACTGTACACTAACAGTGCAGTTAAAATAGATATAATGTGTGTGTGTGTGTGTGTGTGTGTGTGTGTGTGTGTGTGTGTGTGTGTGTGTGTGTGTGTGTGTGTGTGTGTGTGTGTGTGTGTTACGTACTTCGCCCTGAGCACAGGGTCCACTCCCACGGTGGGTTCGTCCAGAATGAGCAGCTCAGGGTTCTGAAGCAGCGCCGCACCCAGAGACACCCTTCGCTTCTGACCGCCACTGAAACACACACACACACACACACACACACACACACACACACACACACACACACACACACACACACACACACACACACACACACAGAGAGAGAGAAAACAGGAAGTGAGACAGACAATAGAGTCAAAGGGCGTCCGAGCTGAATCATCTCGCGCTCTGTGCATGCACTGAAGAAACTGAAGCATTGACTTTAATTAAATGTATTATGTCAACAGATTACAGATTACATTTCATTAAAGTCAATGCTTCAGATTTGTCAGTGTGCCGCTCGCTCCTGAGGGAAAGCAGCAGAGCTAATCCTGAAGGACGAACCGGCCCGACAACAAAATAAACAACAAGACCTGAGCGAAGAACATAAGGAGGAATTGGCATTAAGACAACTTGACATTAATTTATTGATATCATAAAACAATAAAAACAACTTTCCTTTTTTTACAAATTAATTTTACGGCAAATCAAATATTACCTGATTCATTCTACTTGTTTTAAAGACAAAAGAAGAATGAATATGAAGCATAGACAGGCTGATTGATGATCACGCGTGCCACACGGTGTGTTCATACCAGGAATGTCTTGCATATTTTGCACAGGGAACAGTTTCAACAACACGTCACGTAAGGCTGCAGCAGCAGAGCCATCTCAGAAACAAAAAACACAGCTCCTTATCACCGGGAATGCTCTCTGCTGCAGCCGTGATACACAAAGCACGACATAAATATTACATGAAGGGCTCCAGTGAATGAAAGCAGGTTGGAGGAAGTCTTTGTAATTATCCGGGATGTGAATTAGGAGCAGGAATATGAGATGATTATGATAGTAGTTCTTATAAAGTACTGTTTTTATTGATCTCTCTCGGTGTGCAAGGCATTTTCTAGGACATCTTGCAGCATGGTTTCACATTAAGACTAAATGTACATTTTCAAAAATAACTTCAAAGCAGGAATGCAACAGAAATATTTGATAAAATGCCAAAAACCCTATTTTTAAATCTATTTCTTGATCCTTTCCTGATAGGGTCTGTGAGCAAAGTGTTTTTTGGTCACAGTCTGTGTCTCTGTGGAAAGCAGCTACATTTAAGGAACTGATTATAGCTGAGGTTTATTTGGGAACACAAAACAAGGCTCTGCAGATATGATCATGTGTTTAGGGACAATAAACATGTGCTGCAATTCAGAACTGCTAATCTTTGGTAAAAGAGTAACAAGTTAATATCAGGTGTGCACAAGGTATAAAACGTTTTAAAGGTCACCTATCATGCTATTTTTAGGCAATAGCATAGGTCTCAGATATATAAAAATATATAAAAAACATGTCTATGAAGTGTTTTGCTCAAAATACCAAACAGATCGCCCATTCTAGCCATTCTTCATATCCCTCTATTTCACTTCCTGTTTCAAAAGTGCTGATTTTGGGTATAAAGCTTTAAAAAATGGAGGGGGCTGAGCTCATGCGGGACTCAAGCTACTGTCTAAACTAAATTCTGCCATGATGAAACGCCATATCATGGATTATCAAGGATTATTTCTGAAACAGTATGGAGCTCAAAGGCTTTCTCTCTTGCCGGTTGCCACAAGGTGAGTTCCTTTTCATTTCCTGCTTCTTCACACACATGCTCTCCAGTACAAGTTAGCTCTGAGTGTTAGCGATGCTAATGTAAACACCGACCATATTACGTCCAAAACAGTCGGGCAACGTTTCTGATAGCAACGTTTCTGATAGGGCCGTGGGTCCACATTTCCGATATTACGTCATATCGGACGCAAATCTGGATCAGCTCCGTTGTAGCCCCGTTTTTAGAGATTTGGGTACGGAGGAAAAGAGAGAGGGTTTAATTTTCTGACGCTGCGTGAGTTCACTGACACACCGGGGGCACATATTTATGTATAAAAGACATCAAAAAGTGCATTTTGCATGATAGGTCCCCTTTAAGACTTTATAGAACAAAGAGGAACTTCTTTACAGCATGTAACTGAACACCATAGAGTAATATACTTCTGGCAACTTAACATGTTTCCTCAATTTAACCTTTTATGGAGTAAATGGACCTTTGACACAATGGCTAAACCAAAGCAAACAATCCAGTGTGGCAAGATTGAGCTCCTTTTCATTTGATAGGGCAGGGAACACAAGTTTTGGGCTACCTTTTGTACCATCTGGGAGGTGATGAAAAGTAGGAGAAACAGCTCTTCATAGGTGACTTCTCTTCTGTTATTGAATTAACATGTATACATTACATTACATGTTACTTGTTAGACGCTTTTATCCAAAGCGACTTACATAGGCAAGGCAAGGCAAGGCAAGGCAAGGCAAGGCAAGTTTATTTATATAGCACCTTTCAACACAAGGCAATTCAAAGTGCTTTACAAAAATGGAAGACATTATGAAAATGGCATTTAAAATCAGTCATTAAAAAGAAAAGATAATAAAATAAACATTAAAAGAAAAAATACATGGATAAAAGTTAAAAGTTACAGTGCAGTTTAAGATGTGAATAGTTCAATTAAAAGCAGCGGCAAAAAGAAAAGTCTTCAGCCTGGATTTAAAAGTAGTAAGAGTTGCAGCGGACCTGCAGGTTTCTGGGAGTTTGTTCCAGATATTTGGAGCATAATAACTGAACGCTGCTTCCCCATGTTTAGTTCTGACTCTGGGGACAGAAAGCTGACCAGTCCCTGAAGACCTGAGAGTTCTGGATGGTTCATAATTTAGCAGTAGGTCAGAAATGTATTTTGGGCCTAAACCATTCAAAGCTTTATAAACCAGCAGCAGTATTTTGAAATCTATTCTTTGACACACAGGAAGCCAGTGTAAAGACTTCAGAACAGGAGTGATGTGATCCACTTTCTTAGTGTTAGTGAGGACTCGAGCAGCGGCGTTCTGAATTAGCTGCAGCTTTCTAATAGATTTTTTAGTGAGACCTGTGAAGACACCATTACAGTAGTCGAGTCTACTGAAGATAAAAGCATGGACACGTTTTTCCAAATCCTGCTGTGACATTAGTCATTTAATCCTAGATATATTCTTTAGGTGATAGTAGGCTGATTTAGTAACTGTTTTAATGTGACTGTTGAAACTCAGGTCAGAGTCCATGACTACACCTAGATTTCTGGCTTTATCTGTTGTTTTGAACATTGCAGACTGAAGCTCAGCGCTAACTTTTATACGTTCTGCCTTGGCTCCAAAAACCATTACCTCAGTTTTATTTTTGTTTAATTGGAGAAAGTTCTGACACATCCAGTCATTGATTTGTTCAATGCACTTACTCAGTGTTTGAATTGGAGCATAATCTCCTGGTGAAATTGTTACGTAAATTTGTGTGTCATCCGCATAGCTATGGTAACTTATTTTGTTGTTTTTCATTATCTGAGCCAGTGGTAGCATGTAGATGTTAAAGAGAAGAGGCCCCAAGATGGAGCCTTGAGGTACCCCACATGTCATATTTGTCAACTCAGATGTGTATTTACCTATAGAAACAAAGTTTTTTCTGTCCTTTAAGTAGGACTCAAACCAATTTAGAACTGTTGCCGAAAGTCCCACCCAGTTTTCTAGTCGGTCTAGTAATATGTTGTGGTCAACAGTGTCAAACGCAGCACTGAGATCTAATAATACTAACACTAAAGTTCTGCCACTGTCTGTGTTTAAGTGGATGTCATTGAAGACCTTTACAAGAGCAGTCTCAGTGCTGTGGTTTGGACGAAATCCTGACTGGAACACATCCAAACAGTTATTTAAATGCAAGAAGTTACTCAACTGTTGAAATACAACTTTTTCAATGATTTTACCTAGAAATGGCAGGTTTGATATTGGCCTGTAATTGTTCATTACTGAAGCATCTAGATTATTCTTTTTTAAGAGCGGTTTAATGACTGCAGTTTTCAGGGCCTCTGGAAAAATACCTGAGTGAAGAGATGTGTTTACTATATGAAGTAGATCTGAGGCCATGCAAGGAAAAACATCTTTGAAAAATCCTGTTGGAATAATATCAAGGCAGCAGGAGGAGGATTTCAGAAGTTGAATAATGTCCTCTAAGTTTTTACCATTAATCTGATGGAATTGTGTCATGGTGTTTGAATTGATATTAGGTGGACATAGGGACAACACATTTGCTGTACCTGATGCAGAGGCACTGACTGCTTGTCTAATTTTCTGAATTTTGTCAGTGAAGAAGGAGGCAAAATCATTGCATGCCCTGGTGGATAGAAATTCAGAGGCTACTGACACTGGGGGGTTAGTTAGTCTGTCGACGGTAGCAAACAAGGCAAACAAACATACTCAATACTGTGGGCAATCCCCACAGGAGCAATTTGGGGTGAAGTGTCTCAGGGACACAACGACATGCTGACTGCAGTGGGGTTTGAACCTGTGCTCCCCTGATCGCAACGCTCTAGTCCACTGCGCCACACGCCTCCACTGATGTATTTCCAACCAAGCTATCTATGATTTCTTCAGTAAATAACCTAGGACATCCCGCTAAATAACAAATATCATACTATCGCAGGATAGAAATGCTAATGCTAATTCTAATGCTGCAGAGGTTAATTTATGACGATGGTTTTAAAATCTAACAGAGCTACGTGGACTCACTCAAATCTGGCAACACTGATGCAAAAATAAAAGTGGTTTCATGGTGAGAGTTTTATCCAAAGCAAAGTCTCTTTATTTGACATTTGTTTGTTTCCTCATCTGACAGTCATAATGTTTTATGCTCACTGAGTTTACAACCTGTGGAGGAGAGACGGATGATGTTTGTCTGTGTGTGCACATCATTTTGGGTGATTTAGGTGTCAAAGTCCACAGGCGTGTGTAGACTCACTTCATAAACTGGAGATTGTATCTGGGGATTTACTACATTTGGCTTCAGGTTACCATCACGCCTAAACATCTTTAAAACACTGTCTGTGTTTCATCAAGCACAAAATGTCATTCTACTGCAAAGAACTGCACGAAAAAGACAAAAAGAATATTTCAGCGTGAAGCTATTTTTTGAACAAAGAGACATCATTGAATTAATTTAGGGAGAAGTTGTAGTAGTCGTAGAAGTTGTCTTAAATCAAAATGTACATATTCTTTATTGATTCACCATGTTGTTGTCCAAAGTGCACCTGCAGCAAATTAAAGCAAACTACAGAACTAAAGGTGAGTGGTTTCACAATAAACCCATGCACAATCAAATGGCCTGTCCTACCTTCAGCCCTGCATGTAGAAAAGCCAACATCTCTGGAGATTTTAAGTTGTAAATCACAATGTGCTACATGTGTTTTTACCTGAGGTTTCGGACCAGGCTGTGCTTCTGAGGTAGATCCAGGAAGTCGATGAGGAAATCCGTGCGAGCCTTGGTTTCCTTCGACGTCAGGCCGTGGATTCGGCCGAAGAAACTGAGAGTGTCACTGATGGTGAACTCGCTGTACAACGCCAGCTCCTGGGCAACGAACAAGCACAACCACGTGTCAAAAACGTATGTGTGTAGACGTTTTTATCACAGCGAAGACAGGTAGTACTTGATAGCAAACATTATATGCTTTTAACCCCCCAGCTTTTTGATCTCCAGGAGTAACTCCAACATTGACCTGAACATAATCATAATGCTATCAAATTCTTTGCAAACCAAGCCCTCCTTTCCCTTGTTTTTTTTCTATATTTACATTTGATAGAATATCTTTTGAGGATGGCCTGACACTTAAATAAAAAGTTGATCCCTGTCTTAATGCTACACATTTAATACATGATTTTCTAATGATTTTTTGGAAGTTATTTGGAGAATTCAATACATACTCCACAAGAAGACACACAGATGTTGGTACCTAAATATTAAAACAAAAGTTTGAAGGATATCTCTAAGGGATATCAACATATGCCGTCAGATTAACCTTTATCAACTAATAAAAGAAGCTTGACAAGCCAAATCTGAGAAAGTATTCAGTAGCACAGAGTATCATGAAATGGCAATAATAATGCAACATGATGCATATGTTTCTGTAACAACAAATCATGATGATACATTATATTTTGCCAGCGTTTCAGTACTTCACAGCGACTACAGTACAGTAGCACCCTTAGGAACACCCTGGGGTGTCACCTTTCATCCTCTCCGGGTCACAGATCACTCCCTTAAGGGACAATGTGATGCTGAGCGTTATACAGGGGAGGACGCGCACTGTGTGTTATCAGCCTCATCAGGTATCCAGTGTGACCGTAATGAGACTTGTGGGGGAAACTTCTGAAGCAATTGGAGTCAGGACTCAGAGAGACACGATGGAGAGCTGGAGCTTTGATGGCAAACACTGACGGTTTATTTGGAGCTTCGGCCGGAGAATTCACAAGACATGTCACGGGCCACGGTTTGACCACACGGATGAGATACCACAATCAATTCTGAAGACCCCTCCTGTAGCTCGAGGTTTGAACTAGTTCAGAGTGTAATAATCAACATTCTTCAATAGATAGACTAAACAGCTGGTGACACTGAATCACGTTTGTTGTCGCTTATGGCTCGGGGTCATCTACACCCCGAGAAGGATGTGTTCCAGGTGTCCCACAACAATAACTATCTCTGACCGAGAGTTGCCCGGTCATAAACTGGCAACAACAACAACTTGCTAGGGCAGCCCCTCCTTATGGGAGATAACGGCTGCTCAAGGTTGGTCAGCTGCGTCAGAGGGCGAAGGAGGACATGCAGGGCGAAATGATTCCCTGACAAGACACACTAGGGTCCAGGTCACTCACAGAAGCTAAAACAAAGGAGATGGGTACTTAATGTAGACCTCAATTACATTACATGTTACTCGTTAGACACTTTTATCCAAAGCGACTTACATACTCAATACTGTGGATTTTTGGGGTGAAGTGTCTTGTCCAGGGACACAACGACATGCTGACTGCAGTGGGGTTTGAACCTGTGCTCCCCCTGATCCGAACACCAACACACTAGTCCACTGCGCCACACGCCTCACCTCAATGACCCTAACCCTCCACCACACTTCAGATGGTTATGATATTGACCATTTTTAAACGCTTTATTCTGGCAGAATGACCATGTGTAAGCTAAGTAATTGGACTGGATGCTAACAAAGAGCTGCAAATCATTTGACCTGGCATCTGCATATTTAAAAAAAGAGCCAATCGAAGAAATGTTTAACTCTAATTAAACCTGAATTTAATTCAGTTAAGCAGGGACAACCTACTTCCATCACTTTGGTCTAGATTATCCTTATTTAAAAAACTAAATTTGATTTATAACACTTCATGGATTTTATTGTTATACATCTCAACTTCTAAACTTCTATGTTAAATTACTGTAACTTGAATTACTTGATAAATTATGCAATCTTTGTTTGTATATGTTTAACCTTTCTCTTTTTAGTTATGACTATGGATATTTAATAGGGGCAGTATCTTCATAAATCATTGGTGGCCGTTTAACCTCTCCTGCATAATGCTCTTACTTCTTACTGTTTTTTATGGGTGTGTATACGTGCAAACAACAGGAGGTTTAATGCCTCGGATTTGCATAGTTTGTGGCTTTTACAAATATTTCATGCAGGACTAAATGCATGGCGTGTATTCGTGCATACATTCACACATTTCAATGGAAGATACATTTTAAAAGGTGTTTACCTGCGGCATGTACCCGACCATCCTGCCTGGCACGTGATGACCAGGGAACGCAGGAGGCTTCCCCAAAACGCTGATGTGACCCCGTGAGATCTTCAAAGTTCCCACGATGCATTTCAGTAGTGTGGTTTTCCCACACCCACTGGGGCCCAAAAGACCATAACTGCAACACAGAATACACAGCATTTCAGAAACAGAAATACTTTACTAGCATATTTAATAAAGGCGCAAACACATGAGGAGTAAGTGAATATAAAAAAGTATGGTAGTAGCAGTAATACCGTTAATAAAATGTAGAAAGTATATATTGCACATATGAGGGTTTTTTCACAGTAGTTTTGTTACAGTCTGAAGCAGTGAAGTAATTGGAGATCAAAGTCTCTCAGGGTAATGTTGTAAGCTGTCAAGTTATCAGAGTTGATGTTATATTGTTATTATATCATGTGTTTTTAGAGATAACAGTATATGGAATTAGTAGCAAACACTCAAAGCTCTAACTAGCATATTCAGTAATCACAAATGTGTAAAGAAACTAGTGGAGCATGTGAGAGTAAGTGTACTTTCTGTTTCATTGAAGAAGCTTAAAGAGTTCCTCATCAGTGTTTCAAAAAAAGGAAGTAGATAGCGTCTATGTAAGCACCTAAACCTAAGATAACAAGATGACTATATTGGATAAAGCTCGATAGTGACTGCAGGCTAACATGCTGTAGTTACACGCCCTGAAAGACATTGTGTAAGTTACTGTCAGTCAAAACACAACAGCAGAAGATTACATTGCACCCTGATATGCTATACTTATAAACACCTGTTGGATAAAGGAACACTTCATACTTTTCCCCCCAGAATGTGTATGCAAAAACGTATTTGCATGATGAGGGAAAAGTATTTTGCTGTGGCCTATTTAGTGGGAAGTGGAGGCAAACAATACGACTTTATCTTATCAAAATGTGGGTTGCTTCAATAATTCTGTGTTTATGTTTAAGCCTTTTTCATTTACTCCTTGTCTCCCTTCTTCTTGTTTCCTTATCACTTCTTTTTAAGAGGCAGCCATTGTAAAAGGAGTTGTATTTTATTGACCAGACTTGTTAAATGTCCAAGCAAAAGAACAGATAAAGAAGAATCCACTTTTGAAGTCCGGTTTTTGCCACAGATAAATGACTTATCACTCATAAGTAAAACAGTGTGTAAATCACAGCCATGACGACAGATTGTATTCAGTGTGCTGCACTCACATTTGTCCCTGTGGCACGGTCAGGTTCAGGTTGTTGAGGACCTTCATCTTGCCGTACGACCGACCCACATCTCGACACTGGATCGCAAAATCCTCCGGCCCAGAAGGCAGAGAAGCCTCCAGATCAGCCTTCATGTTCCCCTCCTTCAGCTGGAAGAGAGAACAATACCTTATTAAACAGCACAACTGATCTTCATGACTGTCTGACAGCACATTTCACCAAATCAAACTGAGCTAATGTGACAAAATGACAGCAAGATCTTACAGATTCACACACACATGTGCATCAGTCAGAGGCAGAATCAGTTTCATTTTTATACATAAAAGCATATTTGGCGGGAAGGGAGTGTCCCTCCATACATATTAAACAAGATGAAAAAAGCACAAATACTTAAGCTCTTAGACACATAATATGTTGCGGTGATCCTCCCTTCAACTTGTAGGAGTATAAAACTCCTTAAACGAGGGTGAGAACACATCATCAAACACTTTTTGAACACAGTGAGTAAGTTGCTGCTGCAAATTCCTGAGGAACAAAGCATCTGCCTCCTGACTGTGTTTACCTCCTGAGGTTTATAGCTCCATCAGTCAGAGTGGTGGTAGTTTAAAAATACTTTACTGTAAGTATCTGAAAGAAATGCAAACAATTTTTCGAAGTAAGCCAGTCCTCAAACCACTGAAAGAGGTTGGTCTATTTTTATGAATAAAAAAAGGGGACGAGAAACGAGTGTAATCTCACTTCTGGTACAACAACATGATAAAGAATACTATATTTTACGCGTGGTTTCTTTGCATCTTGTCCAGCTGCAGCAGACAGAGTATTTGGGTCGTTAAACAATCCTTTGCCCAGTAATCTCTAACAGCCACGTTCTTTGACGGGCTTTCCCGGGTTCTCCAACTAACTCCCTCCTTTAATCCAACATCTCTCAATCACCAGTGAGGAGATTATGGGGTTTGCATTGCGTAATCTGGCACATTTGGTTGGCCTCACCTTTGACACTATAGCCTTTCTCTGCAGAATATACACAAAGACAGATCTCACTAACAATGCTGGAGGTTTTTAGATAACAATCTGATTTCAAACCCAGTTAAAATCCATCATCAAAGACCCCCATCACCCCAGCCACAAACTGTTCTTTCTGTTGCCGTCTGGCAGACGTTACCGCAGCATCCTGGCAAAAACAAAAAGATTCTGAGACAGTTTCTTCCCGCGGGCAGTGAGACTGTTAAACAATTGAACTGCTGAAACAATTTCATAGCATTCATCTGCTACTTAGTAATATATATCTACTATCTAATATATATCATTCCAATAACTTGTATATAGACTCGTACTGCACTATTCCACATACTCACTTTATTTTAGAACTATTTTTCTTTTTGTATTACTTTACTATCTGTATTATTATTATGTTGCATTGTTGGAGAAGCCTGTGACATAAGATTTTCAACGACATAATTACTCTGTAGCTATGTCAGTTTGACAATAAAGAACCTTGAACCTTGAACCTTGAAAACTCGATAAAAGATATAATTATCTACAGGTAAACACACCGACTGCTAATGACAAACAAACAGAAACTTAGAAAACTCAGAAACCACTCACCCTGAGAGAATATGGTAAGAAAGAGGAGAAGTGGAAAGGATGTAGAGCAGCTGATGAGTAAAGTGTGAGACTGAAGAAACTAAAGAGCATGTGACACATCTCCGCCCACAGAACTAAAGTGGAAGAACAGGTTCAGTTCACCCGGAGACAGCTGGAGAACGAACGCTTTCCTCTAAATAATACTACCTTACACACACACACACACACACGCACGCGCACGCACGCACGCACACACACACACACACACACACACACACACACACACACACACACACACACACACACACACACACACACACACACAGACTCACTCACTCAAACAAACACACCCTTCTCAAGAGACTCTAACCGGTATGCTCACAACAATACATTAACAACAGAAATTGAATTTTATCTATTTATTTTTTGTAGCCATTTTGCACAAAAACAACATTTGATCGTTGCAGATTAACAAGTTGTCAGATTCACCCAATTCACTGTTTCCTGTCATAAAAAGTCTACTTTAGAATACTAATATGGCTTTTCATTCTTAGTCAACACATCTGAGAATATCCCTTTAGGCTCTGGCAAGTTGCCATTTAGACATGTTAATTGCTTGATAATGTGACCCATCCATCTACTATTGATTTTATCACAAACTGGAGTAGGATTCCTACTCCAGTTTGTGATAAAATCAATAACATAAAGTGGGTTTAGCTGCAGTCTCGCTCTTCCAACCATCATCCAATAATAAGCAGGCTTATAAGCACATCTGTAGCAGGCACTCCTGGTGCTCTGATAGTGGCCTCAATCAGCCCAACAAAGCCTCTCTCATTCACACTCTGATCTGCAGGAAAATTCCTACCTTGCCTGCCAAGTTGTTGCCAACTCGCGTCACCGACCAGCGGAAGAAACCGGGCTCGACAGGCGAGTTTCAATCAGCCGCAAACGAGAGGAGAGCAACCCAAACTGCGGGAGGACGGCCTCTGTGTGTCCGGTGTTTATCAGCTCTGATCCCCTGCATGCATTGCACCGACCAGCTGCTGCACTTCTGCTTTCCACACCAGCGCGTCACACGGATCCCTTTTCTCGCTTCACGTGTACGATACAGCTCATCCTGCTTCCTCTAACCACACATTACCTTAAATATTGTGCCAAAACCAGATAACGGGCATTCTGCGTCGGTGCATCCTGCAGCAGCCTCTCCATCTTGCTGCAGCAGCGTGACAGATACCGGGAGGCCTGGTACTGTCGAGTCTCGACTCCCATCGTTTTAGCAAAGAAAGCATGCATAATGATCCGAAATAAATCTTACCCGTTCGTCCATCTCGGTGCTTTCAGCAGGTCCGGGGGTCGCAGCATCCCGACCGGCATCCTCCGCGGCCATGGCAGCAGCAGGGAGGAGGGACCGGACACCGGCTGGAGCTCTGCGAGGAGAGGAGAGAGGGGTGAGAGAGGAGAGAGGAGAGAGGGAGAGAGAAGGAGGGAGGGTGGGGGATGCACTGTGGGAGATGTTTATACTCAAGATTCTTGCTGTGTTAAACGCTGACAGTCTTAGTAACGACTGACTTTTTTTACTTAGATTTTATTCCAGTTTATTGTACAAACATGTTCACACTTTTGTCATTAGTTTTTCACATGTTCATTGCCATTTCAGCTGTTACATAGAAAGAAAACATTAAAGAGATAATACATGTGCAGACCACACAATATAACCGTTTACTGTAAAGGGCTGCTGATAATAAAATAACAAAAATGTGATTTACACATTTCAAAAAATTGTTTAAGATGGTGGTGTAGTACCCAAATAAACCACAAGATGGAGCTCAAAACAAGCGTTTAATCACTGAAGCAGCTCAGGAGGGAAAGTGTTGCTTCAGGAAACTCCACAGGGACTCAAGCACCTCATTTACAGACTTACACTGCCTCTGGAGGACTGGGGCTGTGAGAGAATGCACTTTAAAAGGAAGAAAACTAGAAAAAAAAAAATGCTTCAGGATGCTGAAAGATACAGTAATGCCATAAAATATTAATTGACATGTAATTTGATATGCAATGTTGAGGTTATTCATCATGTGTGTTTTAAACTAAAATAATAAAATACCAAATTGGTTAAATGGAATCACTTGGTTATCGTCTTTGGCCTTTTGTGAAGTTATTTGCCTGTGTCTGTTTCCCAAGTTGTTCTGAAGAAAATAACTAGGAACCAATTTAACTTATTCAGAATAAGTATCTGAAACCTTCATTCGTCCCACAGAGGGGAAATGTACATTGTAACAGCAAGTAAAGAGCCAAAGATAGCTTCATATAATTAAGAAGCATGCATGAAAAAGTAGAAATTACACAATTTACAAAATACACAATACACACCCAGTACCAGTTATTTAATGTATAGTGCACATATGCTATAGGAACACCAAATAAGAGGATGTCATTGATATGTTTAGCAGTGTTAGCAGCCTGCCTGTAGCAGTGACTGCAGTCACCTCATTTAGACTCACCTTCAGTATTGTGTGTCCGCTGTCAGGGGTCTTGTTCGGGAGCGCTTCTCCTTCACTTCCTCAGGGAACGTACATGTTTCCAACTGGTTCATCCTGAAAGAGGTCAAATGTTCCCACACGTCCATCCCAGGCATGTTTGACATTTCTTCTTTCATCGAAACTCTGCAGAGAACATGTGTCAACAAGTTATTTTTAAAATATGGTTTGAGATGTAGTTCCTAAAGAAACCACAAGACGGCACCGAGAAGCAAAGGTTGTATTACCATAAGAGACATGAGTGTAATCACTTATGCATGAATGAAATCCCTGATATAAACAGCTTGTAATCGACTGAAGTATCAGGTATATATGGAAAAAACTGTATATAGTATCCTATCTTTATATTTTTTTGTCGGTAAGTTGGTCTTGTTTAGTCGATCCCCTAACCTATTCTGTGTATTTATATTGTATACTCTATAGATCAGGGGTGTCAAACTCAAATACACAGTGGGCCAAAATAAAAAAAATGGGTACTAGTGGAGGGCCGGACTGGTTCAATGTTTATTGCAAAACTTATTGAAATGAACTTATTGCACATATTAAACCTGGAACTAACAAAACTTAAATTATTGCCTATAAAAACAACATTAAACATTAAATAATCAGTTTCATTCATTTCTTACGGCTCTATCTGCAGCTTTTCCGGAGTCATTTCTTATGATTACATTTTTCCACAGGCCAACAACAGCTTCAAAAAAATGTCCCTCAAAGAAAAAACCAAACATGCGCTGTTGTCTCAAGAAAGAAAGTGCAGAAGGAAACATCCATTGAAACTCAGTTTGCTGCTCTGTGATGCTAGTTCAAGCCAGATACTTGGCATCTCATCTTGGGTGCAAGTTCATCAATGTTTGGGGTCAGGCTCTGAGCTGAGGAGACCCTCAGGATGGAGTGAAGGTGTGCGTGCAATATACCGGCGGGCCAGATCTAATAGTAATTAGGAATTATCCTGCGGGCCGAAATGAAATCCACCAAGGGCCTGATTTGGCCCCCGGGCCTTGAGTTTGACACATTATCATCAATAAATGTGTATCTTTCTACTGTTAATGTGTCTATATTTACTGGTTATTTGTATTTAATTCAATGTTTAATTCAATGTGCAATGCCTTGTTTACATGCTGCTGTAACAAAACAATGTCCCAATGTGTGGTCAATAAAGTCTCATCTAAAAACAATAATGAGGATTTTTTTTATGTTGCTTCAGCTTGTAATGCATTAAAATGTCCACAGAGGGGCAGAATAGTCACCTGTTACACTGAATATAGAGATGTTATGCACAGGGATGGACAGATAGAGGGAGAATAGGGGGTGTTTGTGCAAAAATCAATTAAAAAGGGAGGCAAAGTGGATGTCCACATTCAATGAAAAGTAATTAATGTTCCAGGCTCACCACTATGACTGATCTAAATATAGCTATGTGTAGCCTCAGATGTTAAATCATTCAAAGTAAGCTACTGACTGTGCACACGTTTGCCAATTAGGCCAGCCAGAGCACCACAGTGTCACATTTAACCTGAATAAAGCACATAAAGGCAGTTATTCAATTGAATTATACACTGTATAATCTATCAAATTAAACCCTTAAGAGGCACGTTGCCTTATTGGCTGAAGGCTGGGGGGGAATCTGTCCGATTAGCCTCCTCCAACAGAAGGGGATTAAGCTTCTGGTCAGTAATGATGATAAAGCATACGTCAGCAGATATCCACCCTTGCAGATTCAGTGTGGCGGAGGGATATGTTAAATATATATATAATATATAAAATATATATATTAAAATGTTTTTTAATCATTGGTCCATTTATGTTGTTATCACTTTAATGTTTCCCTTGGTAAAAGTAGGGTTTACTTGAATTACTTTACATACTACTTTGTAGCTTAACCTTTAATATTATATTATAATGTGTGTATTTTTAAATACAAAGTAGCCTGACTGCAAATACATCTGCAAAGTAACTAAATATGTAAAGTAAATGTAGTTAAGTGAAAAAGAACAATATTTGCTTTCAAAATGTAGTGGAGCAAAAGTATAAAGTACCTTAATGTGAAAATACTAAAATACAAGTACAAGTACCTCATCTAAAAAAAACGTAAGTACAGTGTTTGAGTAAATGTACTTAGTTACTTTACCTCACTGTTTAAAGCAAATACATATGCTTTAGTAATTACTACTAGCCTACTAAGTAGTAACTGAATATGTAAAATAAATGTGGTGGAGAAAAAGCATGAAGTAGCATAATGTGAAAATAATAAACATCCACATCCATTTTTATTTATTTTTACTTAAGTACAGTGTTTGAGTAAATTTAGCCTACTTAATTACAATACACCACTGGAGGAGAGAGAGACCCAAGAATAGAGGCAGGAACAGGAATATCCTCCTGAGTCAGTGCCACGCCGCTGACACACACACACACACACACACACACACACACACACACACACACACACACACACACACACACACACACACACACACACACACACACACACACACACACACACACACACTCCGGCAGCTCTGCTCCGTTAATAAGCATCCTATGCTCTTCTGCTCAAGATGGCGGTGCAGGCAGCGGAAAAAGACGGAATAGTGAGTATTTTGGGGGCTTTTATGGAGCATGGTGAAGGTGTACAAGTGTCTGAATTAATTTCGTGTGCATGAAGGGCTGTGGGTTCAACACAAAGCGGCGTAGGGTCCATTATCCGGGGCTTATTGTAAATGTGGAGTACCTAGCGCCGTGAATGAGCGGCTCCTCTTTCATCTGTATAGCCGGGGAGGAAATCCAATATGCTCTCGGTGAAATGTATCGGTGGTGAGTGGGTACTTAAGCGGCTCCACTAGCTAATTTATCGCGTTTAATTCGCTTTTTATTTGGCCAAATTCTTATCTCACATGGAGCACAACAGGACAAACCACATGACAGGTTGTGCTGCCACCTCATTGTTTGGGAAGAACCGCATGCAAGGCCACATTTGTATCAATAAACCTAAAACCTGGTGCTGTGTGTTTAACCTGACATGTTCTTAATATATCCTACCTGTTGGAGCGGTAAATGACATTTTGCATCCTGTGTCTTTTGTCACTGGTGTTGAAGAATGTGGAGGACGACCACCTGAACGACTCGCTGGGGAACCCCGGCCTCATCTCACCTGACAAGGAAATCTCCCGCCTGCTGGTAGGAAAGATGCCTTCACGGATCTCATATGTCCTTGTTTGATGCTCTGCTTAATACATTCACATTGCTTTGCATAGACGGTGCCGTTCAGTGGACGCATCCGGGGAGGCATGCGGCCAGGGAAGAAGATTATAGTGATGGGCATAGTCGAACTGGAGCCAGAGAGGTAAAATAACAATTAACAATGCATGCACAGTCCCTATCAAGAGGCTTGCTTTAATTCACCATGTTTAAAACATCCTATTCAAGTGGTTTTGTTCTTAAACTACTTGCACATCCACTCCAGGACACAGTGAGTAATGCGTGGGCAGCTTCAGAGAATAGTGGCTTCTTAAATAGGCAGAGAGAGACAAGGGCGTTCCCCAACCAGCAGGGACCAAAAAGGGGGGAACATGGAAAAAATAGAGCCATTGAAGCAGACTTGCTTTGGGTGTGTCCTCACCCTATATGGAAACTTGTGTCAAACTTGGAAGAAACCTCCCGATGACTTCATCATGTTGAGAGGCTGCTGCTGCTGCTGGCAGTTTTCATGCCAAAGTTCATGTGAATGTCCCGGCTGCTGAGAGGCTCTAAGAAACAGATTTTTTCTTTGTTGCATCTCAGCAAGTTGGTTACTGTACTTCTAGTTCTCTTGTTCATCTCTCTGAATATGTTTTGCACATTTCTGCACAGCCCTCCACTTTAAAATATAAAACACTACAGTCGTATATTGTCAAATCTTCATCGTAATACGTTTTAAATATATTTATTTACATTTTTCTAGTCTTTTAGTTTACATTTGGTGTAAATACTGGTCTTCTTTTTTTTTTAATGAAAAACAGATTTCAACCTTTTTAACGTTTTAACCGTTATATTTTTGACCCCTTACATCTTATTTTCAAATGTTTTTTATGTTTGCACCACCATACACCATAGCAAATTCCTTACAAGTGTAAACGTACAGTATCTGGCGATAAATGGATTCTGATTCTGTAATCATGTCTCACACAAAGAAGGTTGTGTGTTCACACCACAGCTGTTGGGGAAGGGGGGCGAACACAAACTAGCAGCAAGGATTATGCATAATTAACAACAATAGGTTTGCTCTTACAGCAGATTTATGCATTTGACTTATCCCAGATTAGTTATTGGTCTCATATGTTGCCTGTCTGACTCCTCTGTTCCCCTCCTCCCTCAGCTTTGACGTGAGCCTGACCTGTGGTCGTGACTCGGAGAAGGACGGCACTCTGCACGACGTGGCCCTCAAACTCACCGCCCGCTTCAATGACCGTCAGTTCATGCGCAGCGCCCGCATCGCCGGGAAGTGGACCGCGGAGGAGGCGTCCACCGACTACTTTCCCTTCATCCCCGATCAGCCTTTTAGGGTAAAGATGCTTTTACTGTGTTCACATACCAGGTGGTTCTGGTGCCTCCTATTTTTCAAGCAGGTGCAGGTTGTGAATATTTTGGGATGCCCTCTTTGCTTCCAGCATCATTCTCCTTTGACCTGATTCACACCTTTCTAAACCACCTTGGTTACAGTTATGGTTATCTTCTTTTTTACACCTTGGATTTCCTTTCCTTTCAACTGTTATTACTGTTATTTTCTTCTTTGATTTGGCTCCACGTACATAGCCTTCAAACAAGAGTCCAAAAAGAGCAGGCAGCAGGGGTGTTAAAGGTGGGATAGGTAATTCACTTCAGAAACACTTTTTGTTATATTCCATGGAATGCTCTTAACATCCAGATAGCAATGAATACATTAAATGCTTTGACAATAAATACATAAGAAAATGTCATCTGTGGAAGCCGTGGCGCTGTAAAAAGCACGACCAATCATCTGAGCCGGCCCGGCTAAAATAACTGGATGGCCTACCTGCCTGTCAGCCTTCCATCTGTGCACAAACTTATCTCGTGCCCTCATTGGTCATGTGCGCGTTCGTGTGTGTTGGAGGAGGGGCTCTGTAAGGAAGTCTGAAGGAAGGGGCAGACTTCTTTCGGTTGCGTACTTTCAAATTCTAGCGCACTCGAGCTGGTTTCTCCATTCTTACCTACCCTACCTTTAATGCAATCAGATAACAGTTAAAACAGGTTATTAACAAGATTTACAATAAATAATCGACCCTCAAATGCTTCACGCTGGGGTGTGCTTGAAATAACCTGTCATTGCGATGTGTTGTGTAGTGTTTTTGTAGCTTTTTCAGGGCCATTTGTGCTATATTTAACTGTTTTAAGCAGTGTCAACAAGGTAAGCACAAGGTGCTAAAGGACGAAATAAGATGCAGAATCAAAATGAGTGCAAAAGAAAAGACGACAACTATGCAAGGAGTCAATGCAAGAGTTTTGAATGTAAACAAAGCAGGAGAGTTTAAATAATCGTTTAAATTAGGATAGCCGGCACACTTCTTTGAAATCTTTCCTAGAAAGTTCAATCAACCTGTTGCTGCATGCAGTAAGAAGAATTAAAATAATACATATCTGGCTTTTTTTATACACCTTGGGGCAACTGGCGCACGTCTCGAAGCAAGTCGATTTTTGGTCCTTGAGATAATGTTGCACAATCCAACATGTGCTAATGATACTTGCGAAAATTACTAGATGTAATTAGTGCTAGAGAAGTAGGTTTAGTCATTCATTGTATTAAGATTTCTTTCAAGCAAGAATCAGCTTTTGATCCACAGCATTTATTTTGCGACCATTTGTCTATTTCATCTTCCAACACAGTCTGTCAGTTGTTTGTTTGCTTCATGTTTTGATGTATTTATCTTTTTAAAACCCTGTCCTCAGCATTACAAACAGCCCACTGTACGAGCGCTAATCGCATGTCGCCTTGCTGTAAAGAAATAAGAGGCAAACAGGAAATGTTTTCCACGCTTCATCATATCTCTCCACTCTGAATACAGGCTGCATCCTGTGTGTTGGTCTGTTTGCTGCATCGGGGTCAGCATCAGCTGTTCATGTGTTTGTGGAGGAGGAGGGGGGTTGAGCAGCAGCAGCACATATGCATGATGAGTAATGCTCAGAAGACCTGAGGACTTGTCTGCTCCAATAAATTCTGTATATGCACTAGAATGACACACATGGTGTTCGCCTAAAAATATAGTCACGTGTTTCAATCCAACGTGAACGAAGCAGCCTTTAACGTAGAGGGTTCTACTTGAATTGAGGGAAAGGGTTCAGTCCCTAATGGCCACCATTTTCCTGCCTGTCTTTAGAGCTGATCCCTTGTGGTTATGTAATGTCAGCTCTCTGATAAAGTGTCATTGTTTGAGGTTGGAGCGTGACCAAGCAGGTCAGCAGAGACATGACTCTGGAGATTAAAGCTGGCAGATGGCGCTGATGAATTCAGAGACATGCATGACAGACACATGACGTGCTGTTTGGTTTCAGAGCAGGACGGCTGCTTTGTGTTTCTGAGTTTATCGGAACAATCTTCTGCGGGAAGTATGATCACATCTAGAGTTTGTGTTCTTTGGTCTGAACTGTACAGAGGGGTTCACTCTGTTTGCTTTTCTGTGTTTGGTTTGCTGAGATTCACAGTGTGCAGCTGCTTGGAAGCAAAGTGGAGTCCCATTCTTAGCGTATTCATCAGACAGCGTTTTGGGGGGTTGTTGCAAGTTAAACACAAAAAGAAAAGCGCTTGTTAATCGTTTTGTAGAGTAGCAGGATTTCCAGGTGGCTGGTGAACACCCTTCTCTTTTGACCCATAACACCTTGGTTCAGTAATTGTTTTCAGTTCAAGCTGCAGCATTTTTATGTTGAAAATGAATATAAATGACGTCATGTAATGTAAGAGGTGTCACACTACACTTTTTCTTACTATCTGAATGATGCAATCTTAAGTAACAAATGCGAGGATTGAAACAACTTATCCCATGTGCTTTTAGTATGGTAGTTATAGCGTTTTCTTGCACTTCTTAAAGGTCCCATGTCATGGCCATTTCTACTGATCATAATTCCATTGTTGAGGTCTACTAGAATAGATTTATATTGTGCAATTTTCCAAACTCACATTCTCATACAGCATCTCTGTATAGTATGTGTATTCACTCTCTGTCCTAAACGGCTTGTTGGAGCTCCTGCCCCCCCCTCCCTGTGAGCCCAGTGTGCTCTGATTGGTCGGGACGTTGCGAGGCTCGCTGCTCAGTGAGCTGGCTTACTGGTGTGGTTTCCGGGTCGGCGGGACAGCGCGAAACTCATCCTGAGCACACACAAACACTCACAGCCGAAGTAAAAACAATAAGTGTGGCTTGATATTGAGTAAGAAAAAGGTTTATAAACGCTGTGAGAATGGGTCTGCGGAGAGCATTTCTCCGCGATCCCAACTCGTCTATTACCAACCAGGGAGCTCTATGCAAGTCAATGGGACTCCCTGTTAGTTGAAAATGTACGCGAAAGGTCCTGGTGTGTGAGGAGCTCCGCGGATTGGTCCATTTTGGTTCCCGGAAGAAACAAATGGAAAAAGAGAAATTTCCAACGAGGCGTTCTGGGGCAGCATAGACAGGTCTTTTATGTGTTAGAGTTTTACTCGCTACAGGGTGTACTTTGAGGATCTTTGACTCTGCAGACCGTTTACATGCAGAAAAACCTTCATAACACACAAGGGGACGGGTAATAACCAGAAAAGCATGACATGGGACCTTTAAGTATTCTCTAGAATCAACAAATCTCCTTTTATGAACTACACAGAGCAGCGTATTCGTCACTTGTGAAAGTCAGGATGCCACATTGCCCATAGCGAAGAGATATGTCCGTGAGAAGAAACGACTGTTGTATTTTTTACACTCACTTCACTAACTGTCTTCAAGAAAGCTAATTTGTCTTTTCCTTTTCGGACAAAAATAGCCTTTATAACTGTTTTTTGTTTTAGCTTCAGTGCGAATTTCAAAGTTTCTTTATGTGCTGATTATGAATTGTATATTACTTTATATTTGTTCCTCTTTCCTCCCCCTGCAGATTGAGATCCACTGCGAGCACCAGAGGTTCCGGATATTCGTGGACGGACACCAGCTCTTTGACTTTTATCACAAAGTAAAATCGTTCACCTCCATCGACACGGTACAGATACAAGGAGATCTACAGATCACCAAGCTCGGTTAACATCTCACTCTTCCTGCTCTGCAACTCGGTGTGTGAAGCAAGGACTAGTCCGGAGATGAATCCACACACGCATACACACACACACACACACACACACACACACACACATGTGCGCCTGTTACGTCATCATCCATAACCCATCATGCAACACTGCAACAACTGGAAAAATGGCTCCCACTTTGACAAGTTAGACATCTTCATTCTCTCCTTCCTATTGAACCAGGATCTGATGCTTTTTAGGGTAAATGTGTGTTCTCCTCATAGCCCCAGTTTCTTCAGATCAGGGACCTCATGGTTTATTAATGGCGCATTCATTTTTGATGTTGAGTCCTATAGGGATGCTGAGGTAGACACAGGTCTGGAGTGCTTTTAAGGATGCAGCTTCTCAGGAAAACATCTGTCTCTGAGCAGCTCATATTTTATTTCTGAAACTGTAAGGCACGTAAGACTCTTCCAAACCCATTTAGGATTATCTGGAATATGCATTTTTAAAAAGTTGGAAAGAAAGTCACTGGTTATAGAATTTCTATGCAGTAAAATTCTGCAGTACTGGACCTGAGCAGTATTAAGATATTCAACCTGAGCGTTGATACATTCCCACAAGGGCTGAAACATGATTTTCTTATGAGATAAAACTGCTTTAAAGCAAATATTGTGTCAGATTTGACACTTTCTCAGATTTGAAATCACTCCAGCTGTGTTTATTGTTGCGGTTTGCCTCTAAAACTCGATCATAGTTGTGCAGAGTATTGCACCCTGTTTTTTTTTTTGGTGAGCTGGTGTGTTTCCAACTCCGAAGGCGCTCCCCTGCCCTCCCCTGGGTTTATCCCTGTTGTCACGGTAACACGCTGCAGTCTCAGCGACCTAAATACACCAAAATGAGGATTATATCATAGACGGGATACGGTACAGTACACTGCATGTGTGTTGGTAGATGTAGTGGTCACTGCAGCCATCCCCCTGTATGCTGGACAGGAAGTAGATTCATGACTGTTTACTTTAAAGGCAAGGAGAGAGGAGGAAAGGCTTTTAAATGAGTTTGAGATTTCTGCTGTCACACTCAGTTATTTCATGCAAAGCTTATTTGAATCATACTCTAAAACCAATATGCAACTAATTCACATTAAAGAACACACACACAGTTTAGTGGATATTTAAAGAAGTTGCTGTCAAAGTGTGCAGGAGTTAAACTCAACTCAAACTTCAGTCACATTAGGAGTCCGGTGTTTTTGGAAGCAGGAGCAGACCCTGGTGGTATTTGAATGTATAGTATTCATATATAGTAGCATAGAAGACACAGTATAGTGATGCACAACATTATAACTTACTGTCACAGTTTTTTGGTGGTACGCCCGGTGCTGTTATAGTCAGTCCTACAGGATGTGTTTTAAGTGTTTCCTGAATCGTTTCACCTCAGTGGTGTGTCCACGCTCAGACAGACAGACGCTTTAAAGCAGGAAGCAGGATTTCAGTCATAGACAATAATGTCTCTATAATCTTTTCACTCTACACTCAAGTATTTCCCTTCACTAAGTCTTAAAGGAAGTTATAATAACTCCACAGTAGTAGCAGAAGTTATCTGCAACACTCACAGTACAGTATTAGAAGCATCCTGTCTTAAGGTGCTTGGTTTACGCCTCCTACAGTATCAACATTCACTATGACCTGTAAGGTTTTACACAAAGTAGAAATAGGTAAGGATTTCACTGCATCGACTTAGAAAGGGTTTATGAGATATAACATATTGCTTTACTTATGGATAGTAAGACTTAAAATTCAGTTATAGGCCATTGATGAAAACAGCTTTTGGTCTAAAGCAGGGGTGTCAAACTCAAGGCCCGGGGGCCAAATCCGGCCCGCGACTTCATTTCATGTGGCCCCACAAGAGCTTGCAAAGAATATAATATGTTTATTATACGGTTACATGCCGCTTTACAGAAGCACATTGCCCATAAACTACATGTCCCACAATGCATCTCAAATTAGACTTTTTTTCTCTGAATTTGACTTTTTTTTTCAAAAATGTTATTTCAAAATTTCACTTTTTTTTTTTTTTTTTTCCAGAATTTGGCTTTTCTTTTTAAATCATTTTGTGACATGCGCACTGAAGAGACTTGCAATTGTTTGCCCAAGACTTCTGCTTTCAGACGTAGTTAATTATGAAGTTATTACCCTATCTGATAATAATCCAATGAAGAGGCAATCATGTAATATAATACATTATTTTATATATATTAAATATTTATATATGTATATTTATATAGTCTTAAAGTTACAACCGGCCCTTTGAGTGCAACCATGATGCTGATGAGGCCCGTGATGAAATTGAGTTTGACACCCCTGGTCTAAACAGTCTTAAATTGTCAATGAGATCTGCATGAAAAAGCTAGAAATGCTTTTCTATGCAGGAGGATCAAACGAAGGGATTTTTATCTTTCAACCGATTAGCCCAAAAGTTGTTCCTATCAATGCCTTATAGCAGGGGTCGGCAACCTTTTTGATATGAAGTTCCATTAAAAAAAATGGTTTTGATTAGTCTGCCGACGATCGTGAATTGTACTCAGCACTGCACCACGGAGGAAAGCGGCAGAAAGTCGCCTGGAGTTAAAGAGAGCGGGGCTGCGTTGCGTGCATGGCTTCCTTCTGCAGGTAACGGGGAGACGCGCTCTGGCGGCGGTCTCGTTCAGGATCCGAAAAGAAAGTGTAAATATTTTGCACACTTATTTCTAGTATGCCACTGGTTACGGTGCCCTGCCTTATAGTAATATGATCCGTCACACATTAGTACATTTTTATTATCCATTAAGAAAGTAATTATTTACAACCTCTAAACCCCTAAAGATTGACTTATTAGAAGGTTTGAATTAGCTTGGACCAGGTAGAAGAAGCTTGTCTTCAGAGACACTTCATATCAAACAGAGAGTTGAATGAAGGCTCCTAATGCTGCGTCATGGTCCTCATCCACTTTTTGAGCTGCTTGACTCAGCAAAAAGGCATAGACAGTTTCACAAAGCTGCAGAGAACTACCATTCAGGTTTTTTACACTTCAGTTTTGATGTAACCACGCTCATTTTGCTGCTGTGAATATGGAAGAAGCCATGACATCTGTGCAGAGCAGACTTCACTGCAAAGCATGATGTAATGTTTGCCTTTGTTTACACTAATGAAGCTTTGATTACTGAGACTTTGAAGACACCTCTTGGTTTAACATCTTGTTACTGTGCTAAGTGCAGCGTTTCATACGTGCACTGAGTATCTATTAGCTCTTTTCAAGTAGCTATAAGCGCAGGACTTGTTTTCTCCTGGTTTGTCAGACTGTCTTCCTCAACTTCTCGTTTTTAAACACAAACAGGAAACGAGTACAGTTTGGTATGAGAGGGCAGTGCAGTTTAAAAGGTCAAAATACAGTACAACAACAGAACAAATGTGTACAGATAATGTGTAATTGTGTTAACCGGGTGTTTTTTTTAACTGGTGACCATATTTGTACTGCTAGTTTCCTGTAATGTTAATATACGCCATGTAATAATACCATAACTCAGCAGTGTGTTTCGTGGATGTTCTAACAAGGTGTGTTAACGTGAAGTTGTTTCTCCTAAGGTAGGAATTATGGGGGAGGGAGATGAACAATTGCAAAGAATCTTGAACTAAAGGGCTCTAAACAGGGAGTGTTTTTTTGTATGCGTGTGTCCGTGTGTGTGTGAGTGCAGGGAGCTGTGCTGGGAGTGTGTTTTCTGAACATGGCACAGTTCATTCTGCATTAACAACCTGTGTGTTTTCCAGCTGTGTGTGTGTGTGTGTGTGCGCAGTGGGTGTGGTGCAGGTACATGATACGCTGGCATGGTACGAGAGCATTCTGAGGTGGTACTGTTGCACTTTCTCTCATAACTGCTTAAACATTTGTGGTACATGTGCTGAGAAAACCTCAACATATGATGTGTTTCTTCCTGAAATGTAGTATTGAATACATTAAGACCCAGTTCCTGATCTCCTAATGATCCCATGTGTTCTGTAGTTCCTGGGAAAAGATTCCCGCTCTAAACTACCTGATATATAAATTGTTCTTCAGCCCTTTAAAAATGCCACGTAAAAACTGAATGTTATTCTCCTTCTGATTGTAATCTGATGCCCATGTGGAAATGCTGTTAATATGATCTAAGAATTTTACCCCTTCCTATCCAAACTTGTTTTGACCCTGTGACCCTGCTTTTTGGACTATGGATGTACATATTTGATAACAAGGCCTCACAGGCTTAGTTTTTACATGAGGAATACCGAGCTGAGTAACCAGCAGAAGGCATTTAGTTGTGCATGTAAGCTAGTACCTGGCATTTTATATACACGTACGATGCAGCTATTATATTGCCAGTTTTTTATATGTGCTTTCTTAATTTTTTTTTATCGGCTGTTTTCGCCGTATTCTAAAGCAGATTTTCCTTTGGCCTGTTAACCTTTTTTGCTAGCGTAGTATTAATGAAGATTCCAGTTAAATGCTAACCAAATTACAATATTTGAACACCCCTGACACAACGTATTAAAAATCTAGCTTTTCCCAGAACTTTTCACAAGTAAAACAACTCTAAAAAGTGCTAAAAACCTACGTCATGATGTCCATTTCTGAGTAGAAGTAGGCTAATGTTGCTAATGTATTGTGTGGTTGTAAAATCATGTTATCATTTCTATGTATTACCGTGTAACCAGCAGGGTTGTGTGTGGTAACGTCATAACAAACTGTATTGGTAACGTACACATTTTTGCTGTTTATATGAAGGCCTATTAAAAAAGTTGAGTTTTTGTATAATGAAAGTATTTGAGGTCATATATTACATATTGTACTATGATATAAGGAAATGTGTGAAACGAGTATTGGATCAAATATTATTTTCTTTCAACTGCAAAAAAGGGTAAGAGTCAGTTTGTGTTTTCTGGGATGTATCATGTCTGAGGATCATCAGGGTGTTTTCTGTTGTGACTTTGATCTTCTGGAAGTCTTTCATGTATCATGCATCATGTTGGCGGTTCGATCCACTTTCAGCTCTCTCGCCATTAAACATCTGCTCCAAAAAAAACAGGAACACTTGTAGATGTGATGCAAATTCCAGAAATATCCTGATTTTATGTCTTGGAGAATATGCATTGGACCATTGTTTACATGAAGACGTGCACTCTACCCTTGTCAGACCTCTCTTAATGTTTTTTTCTCTCCATGCTTTTGTAAAAACAGCTTCTTTGCAAACCAATAAACATCTCGTCTTGGAAAATGCTCTTATGCTCAGTGTCTGTCTGAATATCTGGCACCCACATTTGTGTTTACCGTTGCCTCAAAAAATAATGAGCTGCTCCCATATTATCCTTCCAAGATCCATTTCAATCAGGAGAGACTTCATTTTGTTTAAAGAACATTTATTGATACATGTCATATGATAAATGTTAAGTCTTTGGCGATTAGACCCCGATCCTGAAATCGTATATCTAAAGGGGGAAATTCAGCCGTGAGCATATAGGGAGCATATAGTCTCCCAATAGGAGTATAGGCAGTCATAATGAAAAATTACAGATGGGAGTGAGACTGAGAGGAGAAATTCTGCACATTTTTATTCCAGAGCTTGAATTAACCCTAAAATCTGAGTCAATCAAAGGATGTTTCATGTTTCACAGATGGCTCAGAATTGTCAGAAGAGATGTTTCCGCTCGGCAGGAGAGGAATCCCAAAATGGAGCCACAGCAGAGCCAAGATCAAAAACTCCAGCTGATCAAAGGGGAAGACAACGCTGGAGGCCTGCTTTCACCAACTGTTTGAAATAACTTTATAGAGAATCAGAAGGAACTGCCAACTGTCAGACCCCTTCATCACACTGCTCTACTGCTTCAAATGTAAATAAATTAAAAGAAAAGTGGACGTTTGTCATCATGACTCAAGCTTGTTACAGTCATAGAGCCCCCTGTCAGGCTGCTGCTTTTTGTCCAGAGGGCCTCCGCTCATAGCGACTGTCTTGGGAAATATATTTGAAGCCAAATAAAGTGTATCTGATTATTTATTTTGTCTCACTAAGGCAAGGCAAGGTACGTTTATTTATATAGCACATTTCAACACAAGGCAATTCAAAGTGTTTTACAAAAATGAAAGACATTAAGAGCATTAAGAAACATATACATACAGCCTCTCCGGTTGATATTCTGGGCTCTCAATGAAAACATCCTCCCCTCTGGAGTGACCTTCACTAGCACTTTTAAATTCGACAAGCAGGACAGCACCGTAGTCAAATCCTGCTTTTTTTAAATAAGACTATTGGCCAAGACCAAGTCGTATTTATCTTTTAAAGACCTAGAAAGGGTTATTAATGCCTTTGTTACCTCGAGACTGGACTATTGCAACGCTCTGTATGTGGGTATGGACCAGGCCTCAATTAAACGCCTGCAGCTAGTCCAAAACGCAGCTGCACGTCTTCTGACTGGCCACAAAAAGCGTGACCACATCACCCCAATTCTGGCCTCACTCCTCCATCGCTACACCCCAGCCAGAGCTTTAAGGTCGGCTGACCAGCTGTTGCTGATAGTGCCCAAGACCAGGCTCAAAACCCGAGGGCACCGAGCCTTCGCAGCAGCTGGCCCTAGGCTCTGGAACACTCTGCCCCTCCATGTGAGGTCGGCCCAGACACTAGGGGTTTTTAAATCCTCACTAAAAACACACTTCTTCTCTCTGGCCTTCTAGTCAGAGCGGAGCATGACACCTGACTATTCCCTGTGTTTTTGTTTTTTATATTTCTGTTGTAAATTATTGTCTTTTATTGTGATTGTAGTAATGTATGTGTATTACATGTACTTTGGCTCGACCAAAAATCACTTTTAAATGTGCTATATAAATAAAACTTGATTTGATTTGATTTGATTTGATATTATGAAATGACATTTAAAAACACTAATTTAAGCAACGATATAAAATGGCATTTAAAAGCAAAGATACACAAATAAGTTACATAGATACACACATCTGAAATGTTTAGGTCTGACTCTCAATCATTGCTAACTTTTTAGCATCAATAGTTTTCTATCACCTCCCTTTCTTTCTACTTTCTTGTTTAACTTGTCCTTTAGTGTTTCATGCTAAACGAACCCCCCTTAGGTCAAATGTATCTCTCCTGAGGGATGTGCAATTATACTCCTCTTTGTTTTGGAGGGTGGGGGTTAGGCCCTTTTCTCACAATGGTGAAAAGCAATGATGTTTGTACTGTAGGCTACGAGTGCCCAGTTTTGTGATATGTGTACTTTAAGTGACAATTTATATGTTCTACTTTTACCAAAGTAAGATAATAATACAGTACAGTTTCAGACTCAATATTTGTTAAATAAACTATTTTTTTCATTATGTTTTTAAAAGTGCTACGATATTGTTTTAATTCTTGGTAAACATTTTCAGAATTAGGTTTGGAGTTGTTTTGTACAGTAGCGTTGTCACCATATCTATGGTTACAAGCGTAACAAAGCTACCCGGAAGTATTAACTAACGCCTGGCCTGCCAATCAAGTTGGACGGTTGGACAGCATTTTTTCCAAAGCAAGTCGTTGTTTTGCCACTGGCATTCAGCTCACGACCACTTTAGTTCTTTATTTAAAACGTTCTGGGTCACCCTTCACATTATCTGCCAACGGTAACCGGAGCGCCATGATGTCGGCGACGCTGCTGCTCAGGCTGCGGGTCAGCGAGCGACTGGAGGCGGCTGTAGAGGAGATCTTCGGACTGGTGGAGAAGACGGTGTCGGAGTGTCAGGAGGAAGCTGTCCGCAGCAAGAGAGAAATCCTCCAGCTGAGAAAGCAGATCGAGCAGCTGACCGTCCTGAAACCGACGGTTGTATTATACTGTGCAGGTTGGTTTCATCAGACTTAGCATCAATGCTACGTTAGCATCTAGCCGGTTGCATATGGTTGTAGACAGGGCCGTCCCTGGCCAACTTTGGGCCCAAGCGACATTGTGAGATGAGGCGCGCCCCCCCCCCAACCGACAGGAGTGAAAACATTTTTTTTGGGAACAAAGTACTTTGCAAATATAATTCCTGTTTATTATTATTATCAACACAGTTACTTTTTTAGACAGTGAGGTAAATGTGCATTTATTTCGTTGAGTATGCGTTTACAGGTGAATACGTCGGCATTTCCTGCCAAATACTAGCCTCAAAAAGATTAAAATATAATGAATGCAAATAAACTACTTCTACTAATAATCATAATCAATTCAATAATATAAATACTATATTATTTTATTATAATATAGTTGTAATATAGTCAAGACAAAACATGCTTATGACATGCTCAAAAACTGATATTTCTTAAATCTGTATTCAAATGTAGTTCCCTCTGTCAGCAATGTATCAACAACTACACACACATTTCTATCAGTATTTCTCTGTGTGGTGGTTGACATGATGATGACTGTTAGGAGTTAAGGGGAGAGGCTGAGCATCACCATGAAATGTGCAAATTGACATAAAAATGAATAAAAGGGGAAAAAAATTATCCCGAAGAACTGCGCACAAGCCGAGCTCATAAGCCGAGGCCCCCTGCGCAATGTGAGGCCCCATGCAGCCTGCATGATCGGCCTGTAGGGAGGGACGGCCCTGGTTGTGGAGACCGAGGTTTTAGGTTCGATTTTCGACAGACATTCGCTCCGGACTATCGTTTGCATGGCCCTAACCCTTTTATTTATTACTTACACATGTATAATGTGGTGGACATTATGCTATACAAACTGTATAAGGTGTACTTCTTTATATAAATGTGTGTTTGTACAATGCACTCAAACGGTTTACGCAATGTGGCTGTTTGTTAACCACTTACTGACCAACCAGGCTGTGCGCCGGACACTGAGCCAAATATTCGCAGTGGCCGGTACTACAACGTCCGTGGCACACCTTATTATTGAATCTATTATTTATAAATTAGCAAGACTTGGTACAAAAAATACACTGTGTTGAAAAAATCCAGTAAGCTATAATATTAAATTGCTAAAGTGTAACGACTGTATGCAACACTTACTTTGATAATAATATTACTGAGTTGACAGATTATAACATGTGTCCTCTCTGTACTTTAGATGCCCAGCCGGTCCCTGCGCTTCCTGTTCTGGAGGAAATGGAGATCCAAGAGCAGTTGGAACAGAAGGAAGCGTATGAGTGTTTCAGCTCAGACACAGAGGTTGATTCTTCAAACAATGGTGAATCAGAACCTGTCCCTAGCTGTGAGCTGCTCACATCCTCCACGGCTGAAACTTTGAGTGTAAACCAAAGCATGAAAGAAGAGGGGAACGAAAGAGATGGATCACCGTTGCCTTCTCAGAGTCATAGCGCTGAGGTCTTAGCGCATCCGCCTCCGAGAGACAAAACGTATTGCCGTCTTTGTGGTGAACGTTTCATGAGGGATGCTCATCTTAGAAAGCATGTAGAAGAGAGCCACAAAGGGAACAAGGCCTTTAAATGCCTGGAGTGCAACAAGGAGTTTGATCAAAGGCACCACCTTATTATGCATATAAGAATTCACACAGGGGAAAAACCCTTTGCTTGTGATTACTGTGACAAATCCTTTGTTCAGAACTCTACTCGTGTTGTTCACATGAGGTTGCATACTGGGGAAAAACCGTATTACTGTAACAATTGTGAGAAAAGTTATCACACAAGTAATCATTTCAAACTTTGCGAAATGAGGAAAAAAACGCAAAATGGCAAAAGAAAAGAGGAATGTAGGTAAGGTTAACAAACCGAAGGAGTTTAAATGCCTTGAATGCAACAAGGAGTTCAATCTGAAGCACCAGCTGGTTATGCATACAAAAGTTCACTCTGATGAAAAACCCTTCAGTTGTGACGTGTGTGACAGAACTTTCAGATACAAGTTCAATTGCCTTTCTCACATGAAACGGCATACTGAAAAAAAAACATTTATTTGTGACAAATGCGGCAAGAACTTTGTGTGTAGCAAACATCTTGCATTGTGCACAGGGACAGAAAAGAAAAGCACAGATAGGACCATTCGGTGTCCAACATGTGGCAGAACCTTTTACACAGATGCAGACCTGAAGGTGCATGTGCAGGTTCACGAGTCATGGAAACTACACATCACTGAGAAACAGCAAGAACTGAACTTAGAAGAAAACTCTTAAAGCTGTGTGAGAATGTGTCTGTGTGAAAGTACTAGGATCGGCCTGGGTTATCTTTGAACTCTCACTTAAAGGTAGGGTAGGTAACCGTGCATGTCATTTGTATTTACATTCTTTTCGTTCAACATTTTTTATATTAACATTTGATCAAAATGACACTATTGTATAGAAGGGAAATAACCAAATAAAAGTTCCAAATTGTTTCATGCTAATACTTCCTGTTTCTTGATTTATTATTTCCATTGTCTTGATTTTTTCCACATTTACAGGCACAAAGACGTAAACTGACAAGACAGCACTTAATGCAAAGGAGTCCAAAACTTAAAAAATGTATATATTATAAAAAAAGGTTACTCTTCCTCATCGGTTCAGTTCTTTAGACATATCCTAATTTTTCAGGAACATGATTTATTGGAAAAATGTAATGTGTTTGTTTGATAAGCACGTTTTTTGTATTGCAAAACAAAATGCATTAGTTTGTCAAAGGTGTTTTGTATTTGTAAACCATACTGTGTTTGTTAATAAATCAGTGAGTATTAAAAAAACAAAACATGTTTAGTTTGTGGAGTTTTGGCAGGAAATTAGCTAGAATAAGGCTTCTTTTTGTATTTTTTTTTAATGTTTTTATTCATCTATTCAATGTCATACATGAACATCATACATTTGACATAGGCTACAACAGACAGTCAAGGGGCAGACAAAAAAGCAACAAGACATTACATACAGTAACTAAAGAAAAAACGGAAAGAAAAATACATTTTGATACTTCATATTAAATATTTTTTAAATATCAAATTACTTTTGATTGCCTTATTCCTAATGTTTTTAATAGTGCTAATATATTGTTTTGGAGTCAGCCCATTTCTATTTAAGGATATGAAATTTCCCTAAAAATACAATTAACATAGATAAGGCTCATGGGCGGCGCCAGGATTTTTTTGCTGCAGTAGCTTAGCAGTTGCTATATGACAGCACGGCGTTGCTAGTTAATTTTCAAAATAAATAAACAAACAATACCAGTGGGCCAAGCACGAGCCTATTCATATTGTAGCGTTCACCGCTATTCAAGATCACAGATCACGAGCCTTCAATGTCGAAAACGTTCTCTTTATTTTATGGTATTGACGGCCACAGCCACGCCTTACAGAGCCAATCAATAGTATAACACTCATTATGACTTTTCCCCACACTCGAACACAACTCCTACCGTCTCGTACTCCCTACACACACACCGGAAAACGCACACACACACCTGGAAGGGGCGGTCTCTCCCTAACTCCCGCCAACAACATTGCCTAAATAACTTTACAAATGTACTAAACTGTGCACATCTGATAACTGAAATAACTATTAACTTGGACACGCTACAATATTATCATTAATATTTACATTAAAACATTCCTTTGACACTTATAACATTACTTTGCAAGGTAAGCACAACCAAAATAAGTTTGTAAAAGCAGAATTTGAACACTGTTTCTCTGCTCCTATATATACAATGTATGTGTATAATACCATTACACCCTAAGCGTACACAATAGCGATCGTTCACTGTTTCAACTGGCATGCTGTGGCATTTAACCTCATCACCACACCGCAAACAGACACACACACACACAAACACACACACACACACACACACACACACACACACACACACACACACACACACACACACACACACACACACACACACACACACACACACACACACACACACACACACACACACAGGGTTGTCCGGCTGGACCGGCTCCATTGGAGATCGCGGCCGTTTACGCTGCCTTGTGAGTCAGATCTTTCCATTTTCGATCTGTGTTCACATACTGAGAATTATAACAACATTAGCCAAGTAACAGTTCGCGCTTTAACTTACAATGACCCCTGATAGATCTCGCGAGAATGTGTATAAATATATATAGATACATTTTCATAACAAAACAATGGGGCTGCTAAGCCGTTGCTAGGCCAATTGTTGGAGTTGCTATAGCAACTCCAAGCTACCCCCTGGCGCCGCCCCTGATAAGGCTACTGTTTGTTTTTGCTCATTAGCGGTACGTCATGACGTCGAACCGGAAGTACAAACTTACGGTTAGTTTACTTTAAACAGTCAGGCAGTTGGTACTTGAAACCATAGATATATGTGTTTATATATATCTATGCTTGAAACGGCTGATATTTAGGTCACGTAGTTCATTTTAAAGTGTCTGTTCCGCCCATAACATTTGCTGTCAGAGCTGTCAAGCGTAACAAAGCTAGTGGGACGTTGACTCGGAAGTATTAACTAACGCCTGGCCTGCCAATCAAGTTGGACGGTAGCACATGGATTTTAAGTCAATATATGAAAGTAAATCAAGAAATGAAGCAAACAAGTTGATCTTCAAATTCCTCAAAAGCACTGGTCTGAGGACAAGGATTTAATATAAACATTTAATAAATCAACAGTAGGTGGCGATATATGCTCCAAGTGGAAGCGATTCGCCATTAAAGAGAAGAAGAAGAAGAAGTTGGACGGTTGGACAGTTGGACAGCATTTTTTCCAAAGCAAGTCGTTGTTTTGCCACTGGCATTCAGCTCACGACCACTTTAGTTCTTTATTTAAAACGTTCTGGGTCACCCTTCACATTATCTGCCAACGGTAACCGGAGCGCCATGATGTCGGCGACGCTGCTGCTCAGGCTGCGGGTCAGCGAGCGACTGGAGGCGGCTGTAGAGGAGATCTTCGGACTGGTGGAGAAGACGGTGTCGGAGTGTCAGGAGGAAGCTGTCCGCAGCAAGAGAGAAATCCTCCAGCTGAGAAAGCAGATCGAGCAGCTGACCGTCCTGAAACCGACGGTTGTATTATACTGTGCAGGTTGGTTTCATCAGACTTAGCATCAATGCTACGTTAGCATCTAGCCGGTTGCATATGGTTGTAGACAGGGCCGTCCCTGGCCAACTTGGGGCCCCAAGCGATTGTGAGATGAGGCGCGCCCCCCCCCCCCCCCCCAACCGACAGGAGTGAAAACATTTTTTTTGGGAACAAAGTACTTTGCAAATATAATTCCTGTTTATTATTATTATCAACACAGTTACTTTTTTAGACAGTGAGGTAAATGGTAAATGTGCATGTATGTCGTTGAGTATGCGTTTACAGGTGAATACGTCGGCATTTCCTGCCAAATACTAGCTTCAAAAAGATTAAAATATAATGAATGCAAATAAACTACTTCTACTAATAATCATAATCAATTCAATAATATAAATACTATATTATTTTATTATAATATAGTTGTAATATAGTCAAGACAAAACATGCTTATGACATGCTCAAAAACTGATATTTCTTAAATCTGTATTCAAATGTAGTTCCCTCTGTCAGCAATGTATCAACAACTACACACACATTTCTATCAGTATTTCTCTGTGTGGTGGTTGACATGATGATGACTGTTAGGAGTTAAGGGGAGAGGCTGAGCATCACCATGAAATGTGCAAATTGACATAAAAATGAATAAAAGGGGAAAAAATGATCCCGAAGAACTGCGCTGAGAACTGCGCACAAGCCGAGCTCATAAGCCGAGGCCCCCTGCGCAATGTGAGGCCCCATGCAGCCTGCATGATCGGCCTGTAGGGAAGGACGGCCCTGGTTGTAGAGACCGAGGTTTTAGGTTCGATTTTCGAGAGACATTCGCTCCGGACTATCGTTTGCATGGCCCTAACCCTTTTATTTATTACTTACACATGTATAATGTGGTGGACATTATGCTATACAAACTGTATAAGGTGTACTTCTTTATATAAGTGTGTGTTTGTACAATGCACTCAAACGGTTTAAGCAATGTGGCTGTTTGTTAACCACTTACTGACCAACCAGGAAGTGCGCCGGACACTGAGCCAAATATTCGCAGTGGCCAAACGGCGGTACTACAACGTCCGTGTCAGTCCGTGACATCACTGGGCCCAACAATACTTTCCCCCATTGACTTGTATTGGGAAAGAGACGTCTGTAAATCAGCGGATCATTTTTACTACCTGGCACGAACACTTGTATAGCCCTTATTGAATCATTAGGTCTTAAAAGTTGTTAAATGCGCTGTATCGAGTTCTGATAATACATCCATGACCCCAAACACGCCACCGCACACACCTATTCAAATTGCTTTATTAGCATGACCATAATGATATACAGTATTACCTTATTGCCTTATCATTTACCAAATGATCTCCACAAAGAAAGTCAATCTACTCAATAAGTTCATTTTGAGTATTTATTACGATCAAACAAACAAGCTATCTGCAGAAAGACCCAAAATCACATAATTTGAGAGAAAATAGTTTCAAATTGTTCAATAGGTGTCGTGTGACCTGTTGAACTTTGTACAATAGCTTCCACTATATTAGACCCATGACCTCAAAATCAATCCAGTATTGTATTAGACGAGTAGGGCACACCTCTTATTATTGAATCTATTATTTATAAATTAGCAAGACTTGGTACAAAAAATTCATGGTGTTGAAAAAATCCAGTAAGCTATAATATTAAATTGCTAAAGTGTAACGACTGTATGCAACACTTACTTTGATAATAATATTACTGAGTCGACAGATTATAACATGTGTCCTCTCTGTACTTTAGATGCCCAGCCGGTCCCTGCGTTTCCTGTTCTGGAGGAAATGGAGATCCAAGAGCAGTTGGAACAGAAGGAAGCGTATGAGTGTTTCAGCTCAGACACGGAGGCTGATTCTTCAAACAATGGTGAATCAGAACCTGTCCCTAGCTGTGAGCTGCTCACATCCTCCACGGCTGAAACTTTGAGTGTAAACCAAAGCATGAAAGAAGAGGGGAACGAAAGAGATGGATCACCGTTGCCTTCTCAGAGTCATAGCGCTGAGGTCTTAGCGCATCCGCCTCCGAGAGACAAAACGTATTGCCATCTTTGTGGTGAACGTTTCATGAGGGATGCTCATCTTAGAAAGCATGTAGAAGAGAGCCACAAAGGGAACAAGGCCTTTAAATGCCTGGAGTGCAACAAGGAGTTTGATCAAAGGCACCACCTTATTATGCATATAAGAATTCACACAGGGGAAAAACCCTTTGCTTGTGATTACTGTGACAAATCCTTTGTTCAGAACTCTACTCGTGTTGTTCACATGAGGTTGCATACTGGGGAAAAACCGTATTACTGTAACAATTGTGAGAAAAGTTATCACACAAGTAATCATTTCAAACTTTGCGAAATGAGGAAAAAACGCAAAATGGCAAAAGAAAAGAGGAATGTAGGTAAGGTTAACAAAACGAAGGAGTTTAAATGCCTTGAATGCAACAAGGAGTTCAATCTGAAGCACCAGCTGGTTATGCATACAAAAGTTCACTCTGATGAAAAACCCTTCAGTTGTGACGTGTGTGACAGAACTTTCAGATACAAGTTCAATTGCCTTTCTCACATGAAACGGCATACTGAAAAAAAAACATTTATTTGTGACAAATGCGGCAAGAACTTTGTGTGTAGCAAACATCTTGCATTGTGCACAGGGACAGAAAAGAAAAGCACAGATAGGACCATTCCGTCTCCAACATGTGGCAGAACCTTTTACACAGATGCAGACCTGAAGGTGCATGTGCAGGTTCACGAGTCATGGAAACTACACATCACTGAGAAACAGCAAGAACTGAACTTAGAAGAAAACTCTTAAAGCTGTGTGAGAATGTGTCTGTGTGAAAGTACTAGGATCGGCCTGGGTTATCTTTGAACTCTCACTTAAAGGTAGGGTAGGTAACAGTGCATGTCATTTGTATTTACATTCTTTTCGTTCAACATTTTTTATATTAACATTTGATCAAAATGACACTATTGTATAGAAGGGAAATAACCAAATAAAAGTTCCAAATTGTTTCATGCTAATACTTCCTGTTTCTTGATTTATTATTTCCATTGTCTTGATTTTTTCCACATTTACAGGCACAAAGACGTAAACTGACAAGACAGCACTTAATGCAAAGGAGTCCAAAACTTAAAAAATGTATATAATAAAAAAAGGTTACTCTTCCTCATCGGTTCAGTTCTTTAGACATATCCTAATTTTTCAGGAACATGATTTATTGGAAAAATGTAATGTGTTTGTTTGATAAGCACGTTTTTTGTATTGCAAAACAAAATGCATTAGTTTGTCAAAGGTGTTTTGTATATGCAAACCATACTGTGTTTGTTAATAAATCAGTGAGTATTAAAAAAACAAAACATGTTTAGTTTGTGGAGTTTTGGCAGGAAATTAGCTAGAATAAGGCTTCTTTTTGTATTTTTTTTAATGTTTTTATTCATCTATTCAATGTCATACATTTGACATAGGCTACAACAGACAGTCAAGGGGCAGACAAAAAAGCAACAAGACATTACATACAGTAACTAAAGAAAAAACGGAAAGAAAAATACATTTTGATACTTCATATTAAATATTTTTTAAATATCAAATTACTTTTGATTGCCTTATTCCTAATGTTTTTAATAGTGCTAATATATTGTTTTGGAGTCAGCCCATTTCTATTTAAGGACATGAAATTTCCCTAAAAATACAATTAACATAGATAAGGCTACTGTTTGTTTTTGCTCATTAGCGGTACGTCATGACGTCGAACCGGAAGTACAAACTTACGGTTAGTTTACTTTAAACAGTCAGGCAGTTGGTACTTGAAACGGCTGATATTCAGGTCACGTAGTTCATTTTAAAGTGTCTTTTTCGCCCATAACATTTGCTGCCTGAGCTCCATGATGTCGTCGACGCTGCTGCTCAAGCTGCGGGTCAGCGAGCGGCTGGAGGCGGCTGTAGAGGAAGTCTTCGGACTGGTGGAGAAGACGGTGTCGGAGTATCAGGAGGAAGCTGTCCGCAGCAAGAGAGAAATCCTCCAGCTGAGAGTGCAGATCGAGCAGCTGACCGTCCTGAAACCGAGAGTTATATTACTTAGCGCAGGTTTGTGTTAGCAAGCATTAATGTTACGTTACCTTCTGCTGGTATTTGTTGAAAGGCTGACTTTTTTTCAGTAGCAACCCTGTCATGTGACCCGTGAACTACGAATCAATGCAGCATTGTATAGAGTGGCGAAGTCCCTCCCACTTACTTCCGGGGTATGGGACCTTATTTCGGAAAAATTATGCATTGAAGTCAATGGGGAGAGAAAACTTATCTTTCGATCCCGTTTGAATTGTGCCATGAATTACACATATGATGTTTGTCAATCTTAAAAAATAATTTCCATGTCAAAAAAGTCACAGTTTGTCTTAAAACTGTTGAAATATAAGACTTTGAAAAATACGAAACTAGAAAGACTACAAATCCCAGAGTCGCGTAAGTGATGTCACAATTGAGACACTACGATACACGTATAATACCGTATATATACGATCAGCGCCATATAGATAGAATCTATCTATATGGCGCTGGCTAAGATAAGATAACTTTGTGCCTGTGTGCTTAGTACCAGGTTGTTATTATACCAGCAATGGGTCTTGCTCGTTCTTTCGCTTCCCGTCTGATGAAAGAGGAGTGTGTGGATCAAGTTAGCTACCTAGCTAGTAGCTAGCACGTTAGTTAGCATTACAGCCTTGTCATTTTTATTAGCCTTAACATGAAGTAACATTAAGTAACCCAAAATGTTAAACAGTAAGAGTAGTAGTCATATTTCGTGAACCCTTTGAATAGTACTGTCACCGGTGTGATCATTCTATAATACACAATTTAAGCCCGGGGGAGAAATGCTAACGCTAACGCTAGCGATCTTCTCTACTTCATGCTATCTGCACAAATGGTTGACATTAAACATTAAAACGACCAGGCAGTTCAGAGAGAATCAAAGGAAGGAAGGAAGGCAGGCAGCTTTGCATGACATTCTTCAGGACGTGTTTCATTGTAGTGATAGTGAGGGTAGTCTCTTGTGTTGACAAGACAGTAGTGACGGCCATCTTGGTGACGTGTGTTGTTGACCAGAGATCAGATGTAGTTCTTTGAGCGTTTCACACAAACAAATGTGTTACTTCACAGTTTTACGACACATTTTTTTTTTTTTGACTTGCAAAATTATCTTTTAAATTGACAAACAACATATGTGTAATTCGTGGCACAATTCAAACGGGATCGAAAGATAATCTTTCTCTCTCCATTGACTTCAATACATAATTTTTCCGAAATAAGGTCCCATGGAGGTCCACCGGAAGGGGAGGGACTTCGCCACTCTATAGAGCAAGTCAAAAAAAAAAAAATGTGTCGTAAAACTGTGAAGTAACACATTTGTTTGTGTGAAACGCTAAATGAACTACATCTCTGGTCAACCACACACGTCACCAAGATGGCCGTCACTACTGTCTTGTCAACAAACGATTGACTATCACCACAATGAAACACGTCCTGAAGAATGTCATGCAAAGCTGCCTGCCTGCCTTCCTTTGATTCTCTCTGAACTGCCTGGTCGTTTTAATGTTTAATGTCAACCATTTGTGCAGATAGCATGAAGTAGAAAAGATCGCCGATGCTAACGTTAGCGTTAGCATTTCTCCCCCGGAATTAAATGGTGTATTATAGAATGATCACACCGGTGACAGTACTATTCAAAGGGTTCACGAAATATGACTACTACTCTTACTGTTTAACATTTTGGGTTACTTAATGTTACTTCATGTTAAGGCTAATAAAAATGACAAGGCTGTAATGCTAACTAACGTGCTAGCTACTAGCTAGGTAGCTAACTTGATCAAGCCACTCCTGGTCGTTTCATCAGACGGGAAGCAAAAGAACGAGCAAGACCCATTGCTGGTATAATAACAACCTGGTACTAAGCACACAGGCATCTTGTTAAAGTTATCTTATCTTAGCCAGCGCCATATAGATAGATTATATCTATATTGCGCTGATCTTAGGTATCTGAATGGTGGAGGTAAACAATTGTGACATCACTTACGCGACTCTGGGATTTGTAGTCTTTCTAGTTACGTATTTTTCATAGTCTTATATTTCAACAGTTTTACGACAAACTGTGACTTTTTTGACATGGAAATGATTTTTTAAGATTGACAAACATCATATGTGTAATTCATGGCACAATTCAAACGGGATCGAAAGATAAGTTTTCTCTCCCCATTGACTTCAATGCATAATTTTTCCGAAATAAGGTCCCATACCCCGGAAGTAAGTGGGAGGGACTTCGCCACTCTATTACTACACTGGACGAGTAGGACACAACTCTCTTTTTATAGGTTTTTAGTCTACCTTCTATATCAATATTTTAAGGAGAAACCAGCATTTTATTGTTCTCATTTCTTTTTTTATCATGTGACCCAGTGACTCTAAATCAATGACTTATTATTACTACACTGGAAAAGTAAGAATTAAGTATTTGTATTGGATTTTAGTACTATTTTACATGAATACCTTATTGGAAACATGTGCATTTGCTTCATTGAAAAGTCTCCTTTCTTTTTAATAGCTTTGTCATGTGACCCAGTAACTCCAAATCATTGTATTACTACATTAACTCTTGCATTTGTTCAATAGCTTCCATATCAAGTAACATTATGACTCCTAATAGATGTAGCATAGAGCTAACCGTCCTCTGTCCCGCCGACAGTGCATGCATGTGTACATTTGTTTGTGTAAGATATTAAGGTTCAAGGTTCTTTATTTTGTCATACGAGGGTCATTCACCAAGTTATAACAATAACATGTGTTTTCTCTGTCTGTTTAGACACCCAGACGATCTCTCAGGAGATTTTGCCTTCACAAAAACCAGAACAGCTGCCGCCGAATGTGGAGGAAAAGGAGATCTGTGATTCTCTTCAGATCAAGGAAGAGCAGGCGGACTGTTGTATCGCTCCAGACATCGCTATCAATGTTCTAGACACACAGGCTGATCCTTCCTACAGTGATACACATCATAAAACAGAACCAGCTACAAACTGTCAACTGCTCCCACCTTCCCCGGCTGTAACATCTATCGTAAGCAAAATCACAGACAACACATTTGACCAAAGGAATGGTGTATCATTACCTCCTCGCAGTCAAAAGGTGAATCGGTGGATCCTCCCAGCCCTTAACAATTGTTCTTCCAAGGATGTCAACATCAGACTCATGGATACTACAACAACGGCTCCAAATGACACCCAGCTGTTTCCCACCTACAGCTCTATCACTGTGACATTAAACGATGATTGCAATGGGAACGCCAGCTCAGGCTCGTCCTCCTGTGCTCCGATTCACAGTGACTCTGCTTTTATGGAGCAGGAACAAACCCAGAAGGATGACAGGACTTGCCCATTTTATGGCAAAGATTTTAACACGGACTCTGATCTGATCAAACACGTCGACAAGGTTCACATGACCACGAAGGCTTTCAAATGCCCTGAATGTGACAAGTCGTTCGTCGGTAGGTTCCTACTGACTGCGCATTTGAGAATTCACACGGGTGAAAAGCCATACAAGTGTTCTTACTGTGCGAAATCATTTGCTCAAAGATCAAATCTCAATGTTCACACGAGGATGCACACAGGGGAAAAGCCATATTTTTGCAATACATGTAGAAAAAAGGTCGCCAGTACCAATCATCTAAAAAAATGTCGTGCGAAAGATCTCAAATTTCTCTGTTTAAAGTGTGATCAAAGATTCCTCACATATACAAAACTGTGGAATCATGACCAGAACCATAAAGCCAGCACATCCCATACTCATTAGTTTTGACATTTGATAATAATACATTTTATTTGTATAGCACACTTTAAAAACAACGTCATCTCAAGGTGCTTCAAAGTTATATAAAAAAAAGTTATAATTTGTTCTTTATCATTGTTTTGCCACACATGTACACACCTCTGTCCTCGCTGAATGTGCTTGAAGTTAATAAGAACTGATAACATTAGTTTGTTGTTATTATTTTGAGTCAAGTGATCAGAATCTGGAATGCAACAATTTATAAAAAGGAGTTTGTTTGAAGGACAGTCATTATTTAAGTATGTAAACAAGGATTGAATACTGATGTAAAGCTTGTCACTTGAAAACATGTAAGGACACATAGCATCTAGACAATAAATACATATCTGAAGAAGGATTCACAATACATTTAGACCTAAGAATAACATTGTAAACATTACTCGTTTGTCAAAGCGAGATTCTTGAGAATGACAAAATGCAGATCAAATTATCTTGTGTCATAATTTGTTTTTGTTTTCTCTGTTGAAGGTTTTTTGTTCCGTTCATTTGAGATCTTGAACCACTTTCCTCCTGATCTGTATAATGCCTGTTTCTGCTCATGATTGTCTTGTTATTCTTTTCAAATGAATAAAATAATTTTGTGTATTTTGAAATGATAACGAATTGTGTGTGATACTTGTAGACACTTAGTAGTAAATAGGGCTGCACGATTTGGGGAAATAATCTAATTGCGATTTTTCTGACGGATATTGCGATTCGATTTGCGATTTTGGTTTTAAGCGACCCAACGGAAGTTTATTGTAAAATGCGGCCATATCTCCGGCTAGAAAGGTCGTATCAACGTGTCTCTAGCACCCCGAGCTACGAGTGAAAGAACTAAACTTACATGAAACTTCCGTTGGGTTGCGTTAAAGTCAAGCTTCAGTTTAAGATTCACCCTGTAATAGATGTCAAACATGTGATGGAGCATTACTAACCTGACTCAGATGGTTTTGGCAGGTGATTGGATCAATCTGTCTATCACCTTCTATCATGGGCCACTTCTGATTGGTTAACAATGGCTGGTACATGTGGAGCACAGCACTTCTGATTGGTGTGGATGACTGACACACAAGAAAAAAAAGTTTTTAAAAATCGTGATTTTTAATTGCCTCATTTCAAATCGATTAATCGTTCAGCCCTAGTAGTAAACCATAGACTGTATATATAAATGGACGTAGGGTCCGTGACGTCACCCATAGGATTCTGCAGAGTTGCCGAGAAGCCCTTAGTAGGCGGAGTCGGCCACTAACGGCTCGACAGTGACGTCTGAGTCTAACTCCCGCCTGCTACATCCTGCTCCAAATAAGGGCAAAGAGGCGGAGCCGAGGCGGGACCTTCTGCCTCCAGCTGGGAAGTAACAGAGCTAGCTCAAGCTAAGAAGCTAAGCTAACATGCTTCCCCATCAGCACACTGCCGTCACATTTTACGTTTCTAAGGTAAGCGGACATGAAACTATTCAGCAAAACTATAAATAATAATCTAAGTTATTGAGTTTTTAGCATAATACTTCAGAATCTTAAAATCCCTTAACGTTTGTATGCAATGTGCTAAATGCAACACTGGAATCAAGCAAATATTAATATGTTTGCATGACATTAGTTATTTATATTTTGCTATCACTTAATTATACGTTTAATACATTTAAGTTAAGCTAAGGTGCATGTGATGGTAGCTAGTTAGTGCTCTTACCTGTGAGGCCTCCTCCAAACAGCATTATAACCAGACTGTATCATTACAACTATAAGTACCAATTCTAGATCCTTGACTTTAGACAAACAATTCAAAAGACAAAATGTATTTAAAGACCAATCTTTATTTGAAGGTGCCTCTTAACCTGGGATATTAGTTATACAGTAATAGTATTGACAATCTAAAAAAACTGAGCAACTCAACAGTCAACTTTATATTTCTTATTGTCTAAAGCATTTATTATTTTCATTTTCCCCTCATATTCAGTGTGGACGGATTGAGACAGCGTGGTGTCCAGAGAGCTGCAGAGACTTCAGGGAGAAACCTCCGTGTGATGGACGTCCTGTCTGTTGGTTTGGCCGGAGAGGACTGAGGGTCTTTCCTCAGCGAGGAGGACCAGGCCTGATGGAGGAGCCCATGCATAGCTGATACCACCTGATCAGGCCTAGTCTGTCACTTTATTTGACTAAATGTGTTTACTTATACATTTAATAGGTTTACACCTTCTGTCCATATGTGCTTTTTTATTTAAAACATGTTTGATTAACTTTTGGTTCAGATTTCAATAAATTGAATTTGTATTTGCACTCCTTTTGTCCATTATTCTTACTGAAAATGTTAGATTACACATTCACATCCGACTGAAGATTGGCCCCATTTATTTGCGTTGCAAACTCTGCGGTACAAGGTACATGTTGTGAAGCTCATAAAGTGAGGCAAATAGAATTAATCAGCTGATGGAGTGTAGATGTGGAAATAGGTGCATTCGATCAGCTGACTTCACAATAAAAGTAGTTTCTTAGTGAATGTCCTGTACTGGTCTTAACATCTCATAACAATAGCTTTTAATTTTCCTATTGGATGTTCTTCTTGACCCTCAGAGAAGGAGAAAATGTTGAGTCGTGTCTTTCAGGCATGTCCTTTCCTAACAAAAATTACAGGAAACATAAAACATATTATTGCAGAACAAGTGTGTTATTTATGAAAGAGGTGTGTTTGTGTTTAGGGGCTGTAGATATAATTATTTTGTAATTGTAATGTTTTATTTTATTTCAACAGTGAGCTACAAAGACAATCAGATTATGAATGAACAGTATGAAATTCATCAACATTGAAATATATTTTATTATCAAAATAATATTTAACTGTTATCAAAACTTAGTGCAACTGTAGAAGCTTGCTCTGTTCTCTCACTGAAATCATAACTTTTACCACGTTTTTTTACAGACAATATTGAGAGATAAATAGCAGTTGTCACTAATAGCTTTGCCTTCAATACCTTAAATTAGAAAGCTGACAGTCATATTGCTTGTTAACATCTAAATGTAACCCTTTGCATGGAAAAAACCCTCAACTTCACTGATGTGTAGGTGATCTAGTATTTAGTATTGTTTAATGGAATGTATATCAGTGTATTAAAGTCAATACTTCATTTATTTAAACCAATATCTTTCTTGATTCTTTGTACAGTATGAAAAAAGAGTATTTGTACCTGTGCTGAAGTTCACTGCTGTGAGGAGTCCAGTTCTGTCTCTCACTCTCTGGTCCATCCTGTCTGCATCACCTGGAAACTTTAAACAAACAGATATATATGTAAAGAACCATGTGTACAAACAATATAACTTATTCTCTTCTGTTGAACATGTTGGATTGTGTATTGTCCGAGTCAGGGTTCTTTTTATTTTACTGTAACTTTGGAAGTTGTGTTACCAATGCTGTTGTGTTACTGTTTATTTGATACCAATTTGGTAATGCACATTTCCTGCTGAAATACATGCATACCAAGTTACTGCGTGGCACTTTGGTTTTGATAAAACAGTGTAGTTCCACTATATAAACGTTACATTCATAATCAAACGAGACAATCTGCAAGATAATGAGCTATTTGTTGTTATTTTTAATGCTTGTCCTTCACACGTTAATCAAATAAAATAAGTACCGATACATAGCAGAACAATTGTGGCGATGTTCAGCTTAATAAGCCTTGTTCAACATAATTCATTTAGCTAATACTACAGCGGGCTGCAGGCGAACCAAGTCTGCGTTTCGCTGCATTCCTTGATCTCCAGTTATAATGCCGGACTCCGCCGCCGGCCGAAGCTAACGGAGCCGCCGGGACGCGCTAGCGAGCTAGCCCCCTGCGGCTCCGTTAGCTTCGGCCGGCGTGGACTCCGGCGGCCACCACTGGGATAATTGGGTCCCCTTTTAACATTTGCTCCCGTTTAGCATTATGGGTGTCACAGCCATATACTATAAAAGGCTGAATCATAAACTAAACTGTATATATATATATATATACACATGTATAAAGGGTTGCGTCCTTAGCTGGCTAATAAGCTACATAATAAGCTACATAACAAGCTAAACTAACAAGCACACAAACACCTGCTAACGGGATTAACATGTATAATATTATCATTTTACTCACCGAAAAAAGCTGAGAGTAGACTTCTTGGAAGGTCTGTTAGTACATTCAAGCGCACAGCACTACATTTCAATTGTCTGGTATTTGTAACAATATTCCCTAAAAGGCACAATCACCACGAACACGGCTAAAGGGTCAAGTACAGCAACTACAACTAACGTTGTAGCCTAGCAGAGTGGACAAATTGCTGTTAGCTGACAGTGAGGCACGTACCTGTCCATCAAAGTGACCACGCCCTAATTTATGCAAAAACTTTAAGACCTAATATAAATAAAAGGGTCGTGTTAGAAAACAATTCACTCATAGATCCATAATCATGAAGGTGGAATCTAACTATATTCATAATAATATTTATTGGATCCATAGGTAGAAACATGTTTTTTTAGGCTGTGAAATTGGGCATTTTAACATGGGGCTCTATGGAAATTGCTCCTTTCTGCAGTCAGCGCCTATCGGCCAATATATGAACTGCAGTTTGTGGCACTTCCGCATTGGCGTCCCGGCTCTTCCCCAGAGTTTGCCGCTTGTAGTAAACCTGTAACAATGAAAAGCATGGATCCAGCAATCATCCGTATTGTTACTTTTTGAATCACAGTACACAAACACGCAGCCGTCAGATACATTTAGAGAGGTACAAACATTTCAGTACATTTTCGCCGCTTCATAACAGTAAAACTGGAGAAATAACTAATACAAGTGATGTCAATTGAACTGGAATACGTATGAAGGAGGAACACTGGGATTTTCTGATTACGTTTTTGCTAAATCTCAATTATATCAAGGCATTACAGGCAGAATTACACTCAAACATTTTATTATATAATATATCCATATATGCTGCTTAACTAGGACCATCACTCTTTGTTAAGACAATACGTTCTTGTTTAAATGTCTGTTTTTTAGTGTTGTTTTTGTCTTTAGAATCTGTTAGTGCGTCAACAACAAACAACAATTCACATTTTTAATTTCTGAAATATGCCATTAAGCTTGCTTTGTAATACAAAAAGAAAGAATATTATAGGCTATAACCAACATACAATAAAAATAAAAATAGATAGGTAGAAAGTAAAGATCGTCTATTTTGAAGAAGAGTGACCTCATGGACTCAAAACATTAACCCGATTTTGTTTTTGTTTGTTTGTTTGTTTGTTTTGCTAGCATGAGTGGGGATGAAATATAATTGAATGACAACCACTTGTCATTAACACTGTTGTTCTCTAATGTATTTATTTCTCTTTCATATATATATTTCTTTTTTATGTATGTTCATTATTTGGTATTACCTCATTTCATATTATTTTTGGAGCAAGTACATTTTTGGCGTCACGCTGAAATGTTGAATGCATTATAATTAAGCCCCTACACATCCAGGAGAATAGAAACATCCCCAATTCCTTTGCAAACTGAGTTAATCCAGCACCTGGAAACTTGACATAGTGAGACCTCCTCACTTTCTACACATCTCTGTTAATACTCAGTGAGAAGGATGACAGAGGATGGAGAGCCAAGCTGCGGCACAAGAAATACACAAGAAATAGCAAGAAGACAAAGTGCATGAGTGTCGGTAAATATCAATGTACCTCTTTATATTCCTATCTAGCAACTAGCATCGTTTAAACTGCACGTCAAGGTTTGTTTTGGACGGTAGGCTAGCGTTATACACAGCTACTTTAGCTTAGCTGCTGGTAATGCATGCTAATCAGCTGTTGTGTTGTAACAGGCAAGATAAAAGCCCTTTCTTTGGAACCAGCAGACAGACAGTGCGTCCAATTATTTTATTTGACATTTTATCTATTTATTTGTATTCTATTTATCTTTAAGCACTGTCATTCGTGTTAAAAAATAAATAAAATACCATTAAATGCGTTTTTTTTGTAATGTTTGTCCCCCTGAGTCCTGCATTTTTATGTTATTTTGTTTTTTTAAAGTATTTGTATTCTAACTTGTGTTTTATGATATATGACAAATATTTTCATTTTGATTTGATTTGACAACCAAATGCGTTTTAAGATGTATGTTTCGCAGCTTATTTTAACTCAAAAATAATTAACCATACATAGGTAACTCAGCTTTACATAAACCGATATTTCTTAAGACAGTGTTTGCATTTAATGAAAAGCTTCATAATTAGCTGTTAATGTAATGACATGACACCTGTCTGTCCAGGTATACGACACTAGAAATAATTTCAGGGTGTTTTACTGACTATTTACAAGACAAATAGTTGTGTAACAATAGTATTTATAGTGGCCAATTGTGTTCATGTTTATAGTTTGTTTCAAGGAGCAGTTGTGTGTTTATGTTGAGGCACTAATCCCTGATCCTGAAGGCACAGGACTCGGTTTAAACTCTTCCTCCATGTAGCACAAAGCTGCGGATCGAGTTTCCTGTATCACTTTACTGAGCGGCCTACTTTCCACTCCAGGATCAGTAGCATGAGGGCTGTTTCTAATAGGTGTAAACATTTGAAACATTTGAAATGGACACAAAAGAGGATGTGTGAGGATTGTGGGAGAGTTTTATTAAGTTCAGATTTTACAAGCTTCTACTTTGTGGTACAACTGTTTGCAGGTTCCTCTATTTTCATCATTGAAACCAGCTGAATATCAGAACTGAACCGAAATATGTCACCTACAAATCAGGAAGTTAACCATTTGTTATTGACATGTACTTTCATGCTTTCTTTTTTGGGGAGTTTAAACTTGGTCAGACATGAAACTTGTATCTAAATATTCTAGAAAGGTCTCTGATTCATTGGTTTTTACACTTTGAATTATGATTATAATAAGGTTTGTGTAGCAACCATCAAAACCAACATTACAAAGGTCTTCACGCAGAAAGATGCAAAGCAAAACTGAATAAATTGCATAGTATTCAAAACAAAATAAGTAGTTGTTTAAACAAATATTGTTAAGCAAAACTGAGATACTCAGGAAGGTCATTCTAAAGCTGAGATAAAAAAATGGGCCTTTTTGAATTTGGTGTAGGTCTTTACAATCTAAGCTATTTCTAACTTAGTTGTCAGGATGACCTGAGGGTGCAAACAACTAGTAGGGGGAGAGTACATCTGGTACAAAGTAATTCATTCATTGCCTTACAGTAAGATCCCAAAATACAACATAAAATAAATGTAACTATACTAAAACTTCTATGTAGGTGTCAGCTAGAAAGAGAGGAGCGATTACCATCACCAGTGCACACAAATACCCTAAAAAGCTGTTGTTTATAATGCTTATCTTCCTGCTCTTTTCCACTTTCTTCTCCCAGGTGCATGAGGCCTTCAGGTCCTGCTAGGAGAACCCATGGAGCCAGACATCATCCCCTTGCACTCCGTCTCCCCCCCTCCACTGGATGATGACGGTGACGGGGAGGTGGGATCAGAGGAGGACGAGTTTGGGGACTTTGGGGGATTCTCCGTTGGGGAGTCACCTGATTCACTATCCAGCTTCAGACAGCTTTCGTCTACCACCATAAAGCCAGCCACCCTTCAATCCACCTGTAGCTTTACTCTCCCTGTTGAACAATCCCAGCCCACATCCACTGTGCACGTGGGGTCCGGTAGGGGCCAGGATTGTACTGCTGAATCATCTGTGCACCTCACAAATGGATTCTCTGTAAGGAACCACACCTCTAGGATCCCCATAGCCTCTGCTGTTGGGGGTCCCAAGGAAGAAACAGGGTTTGCTGATTTCACTTTGTTTACAGAGCAGGCGGAGCACCCCTGGTGCTGCGGCTTCTCTCCCATCGACCGCAAAGAGCAATGGGATGCCAGAGGAAAGGAAGGAAGGAAGTCATCCAACAGCTTGGGGGAACACAGGCATGATTCAGGACAGGATGTTGTGATGGACTCTGAGCCCAGGTCTCATTGTGCATGTGAGACAGAGAAGGAGAATGTTTGCACTAAGGTCAAGCACTGTGAGAAAAGAGATGCAGCACTCGTGCAGACATCTCAGGACCATGATCAGCCTCAGGAAGCTGCTTTGGATTTCCAATCGGAAGAGCCTATTTCTAGAGAGGAGTGTGGGGACATTCAGAGGGAAAGGGGGCATTGTTTAAATTCCTTACACACCACAGGGGTGAAAGAGGATGGAGAGTCAGATGGAGAAAGTCGAGGAAACAGCATTTCTACTGTCCCCCAAACATTCAGTGTGTACGAGTCTGCTTCAGAGGATCTGACCTCCTTCTGTGATGATTTTTCAATCGAGTGTCCTTCTTTAGATTTAGAACCAAATGTTTCATCTCTTGTTTCCCAAGATGATGAGACTGACTGGGACCCGACTGATGATGATGAGGAAGGAGAAGCACTGGGAAATGACAGACCGTCGGAAGAAGACAAGGGTTTTCATTTTTGCGACCAATCTGCGACTCAGGAAACTTCAGCTACCTCCGAACTCTCACAAACTGGAACACATGCAGAAGAAAACTTTGCAGACTTCAGAGAGTGCACGTTAGAGCAAGGACACGTCCAAAGTGATGATGATGATGATGATGATGAAGAGGGGCTGAGTCTAGGAAACCTCCCTCCGAGTGACAGCTTTGCAGATTTCTGCTCAGCGCCCACGCAGGAGGACGGAGAGGACTCGTGGGCGGAGTTCAAGGACCAGAGGGCTCAGGAGGACGGGAGAACTTGGACCCAGTTCAAAGAGCCAGTCAGCAGCCTGCAGGCGGATGGGGACACGGAGGAGGAGGCAGAGAGGGGGGGGCTGTGCGGGGGGTCCAGGAGGAACAGCTGTCAGGTGGGAGGCATTCCCCTAAAAACTGTCTCTATTGTTGATGCTCTATGTGATGATAATCAGAGATCAGAGAAACTTGATTCTTATTATCCAGGAGTTGTTTTCTCAGAATGTATGTTTCAAGCTTCTGTCATTATTTAGTTTTCTTGTTCGACACATGTAAGAGAAACATTTTTTTTGTCAAATGCATATAGAAAGCGAGACTTATACAGAACCATCTAAATTCTGATGGTCTCATTATTCTTATTCTTCAACATTTACTTTATAGTGATAGTTTAAGGCAAAATAAAGTCTATTGCCACTTTAATGCCAATCAAAAGTTCATCATACATGTTGAACATTTGATTAAAATAATTGTTTCCCTCTCCCTTTTTCTCTGGCTAGGCGTCTCTGTCCTGCCGTGTCCAGCAGCTCCTCGTGGCTCACTTTCCAGAGGTGGAGGTCCCAGCTGTGGAAAGTGAGGAGGAGGTGCTCAGCCTTGATGCCCTGCTTCAGGCCCAACACCTCCCTGAGAGTGAGGAGGGGGAGGAAGAGGAGGAGGAGGAGGAGGAGAAACCTGCACTCTGTCCCAGGTCTCAGTGGTGAGTTTGACTCCCTGGAAATTGTGTTGATGGTGGATATGTTAACATTTTGTGACACTTTCCGGATGCAGCAGTTATTCTTTTAATTAATCATTCCCCTGAATACAACACATTGCTGCTTTTCCTTTCTCAGGATTGGGCGGGGGGTGTGGTTGCCACACCAGGACCTCCATGATGCAGTTGGCCTCAAGTTTCAGTGGGGGGGCTCCTACGCTAACAGGACTCTACTCAAGTGCCTTGGTGTGGAGACAAGGAACATTGTGAGTTTGGCTAAACAGCAGTAAACATTTAATAATACAGCATTCAGTGTTAAAGAGCTCTGCCCCACAGTCAATCCAAGGGCAAATGAAAAAGCTTGACTTACAGTATTTATACAGAATATTAAACTGGGGAAGAATTAATAGGGATAGAATTACAAGCTGTGGTTGCTTTTGGTAAAAGTTAGTTCTATTTTCTCTTTTTCAAAGGTGTTCATTGGCATGAAGAAGCAGCCAGTGGCTGTGCCAGCTTTTGCATCCGGCCTGGTGAGTCAACTGTAGGACATAATGAACTACATTGATTTGGCCTCATTGGGAAGAAGAAGCATTTTTTATGATTACAGATTTTCCAACTTGTTTTTTTTTTTGTAATGTTCTTCCAACTTCTACTACTCCTCAGGGAATGCTGGAGCCCACCAAAGACTCTGTACCAGCTGTCAGTTCTCCACGACACACAGCCGTCATCACCACACAGACAACACCTCCAAAAAACCCCGACTCACCGGACCACTCAACATATTCAATGCAGGTAAATTTGACTCTTTGATTTCATTCAATTATCTCTCGCCAGGTGTAAGCCAGATCATGCTGCAGTCAGCCTAATGTTTTTGTCACAGTTTGTTACTGTACGCTGAAAGACCTCTTGTGGTTGCAGTATTTGATTGACTGTAACACTGTTGACTGCTGGCTCTGCATTCCTCTTAATCAGCAGAAAGTGCTTCAGTAGTCAAAGTATTTCTAGCAGTAGGCACCTAAAATCAAACTGTAAGAAACGGATCCATAGGTAAGTTTGTTCTCATTCTGAACCAGAGTATCTGCAGATTAATTCCATACCTGATATGTTATGATTTACAAATAAGAAACAAGATTCAAGACAGATGTTCTATTGCTCAGCATTTATCCTGCTGTACCTGAGGTCTTCACCAACGCTGAGTTCTTTTAAGTCGCGGCTAAAAACATTACTTTTTTCATCTGCTCACCCAGAAGTCTTTTAACTTGTTTTAGCACCTACCGTATTTACAATATTGTTTTTAAACTATTCTGTATCTCTTTTATGCATGGTTTTTATGAATCTGTTATTCCATTATGTTTATTTATTCTGTTCCTTTCTGTTGTCTTCTTGTTAAGTGTTAATGATGCTATATAAATAAACGTACCTTACCTTACGTACCTTACTGCTCTCTTCTGATAAGAGACATATTTATTTCTGTTCTCTCTGTGTGCAGGAGGCGCTCCCCCCCCGGCAGCTGGCCTGGAGCAGCTCTCAGGACGGTACGTCCCCCCGCAGAGCCCCTCACTTCTGGGGCTGGAAGTAGACCACAGTTTGAGCCGTCCCTGCGTGGCTTCTTCTTCTTCTTCTTCTTCTAATGAACCTCTGGCAATTTCTCTGGACTCCTCACTTCCTCCAGGGCATGTTCTGCTGCTTTTAATTTACCCTTTGATTCCCCTCCACTCACTCAGTGGGTGACCGCAACATCTTGTGATTTCACCTCATGAAACACATTCTCTATAATCTGTCCAAACAAGAATACTTGCACACATAAAACATCCAACAGTCCCTGAACTTGGACTCAAAGTAAGACAGATAAAAAGCATAACAATAACACATAAATGATTCCAGAACAATCTTTAGGGAAACATTGTATTGGCTACCCTTTTCTCCTTCCTTCAACTAGTGTCTCATCTTTACCTTCTGCCAGCTTTTACAAAGAATTCATCTCAGTATTTGTCAGTCCCAGCTGTTATGTGGACACATTGTGGTGTCCATGTTGACGTGATAACACCTAGGGACTACAAGGGAAAACAGGATGAACTCTTTTGGTGCTTTTCCTTTTAAACTACAACACAAAATACCTGAGTGTAAGGCTAGATAAATCCCCAAAGCACTGACCTTATTTACTCATCCTAATATTAGTCAATTCATGGAGCTTCGTCACAACATCTGCCATGACGATTCGTTGGATTTTTTTTATACAAAAGGACCATTTTATTGTATTTATTTGTGACCACTGTGAAGGTTGAACTTACTCTTCTACCTTTTTCCCTGTGCATGACTATATAATGCACTAAGAATTATAACGCCCATAAATCTGACACCATTATCCAGTTTCTGGCCCTTTTTCTAAACAGTGTTTAGTTTTCGTTGGAAGCTATTTACTTGCCCATATGAGCTTGCCAAAAGGTATAATGTCCCACAGTTAAGTTAGACCTTTTGATAAAGAGAAACCAAAAAAGACAACACGGGTATTAGAGTGATTCTTTGCTCAGGAAGTATTTGATTGATCACATTTTTAGAGTAGTGTTTACATCAGTATTACACACAAAGGATGTGTTTCTAATTCAATGACTATCATTATTTATACATCAGTAATTGTTGCTATTATTACCGTTATTTTATGTGCAGGGCTTTCTTTGGTCAATTTAATATAATAATTAAAAGACCGAACCAGAGAAAGACCAGAAAAAGTGTTGCAGATTAGATGCTGCTAGTAAAGAAAATAAAAGTGTTATATGAAATGTGCAGCAGAACCAATTTAGCATGTTTTGGAAGTGGGCAAACTAAAAGTATAAAAAAGAAGAATGACAAAATGTTTTATTGCGAAACTATTGCTCATTAAGATAACTGACTTTTCTTAAATCACAAAATCACAAAGTGGTAAAAGTCAGCATGCAGACAGGTTTGAGTTTAGGCCCTTTGTTTGAAGCCCCTACCTTTTTTGTGTTTCACAAGAGCGACAAATGTTCATTGATTAAAATGGATCATTGATGTCCAAACAGTGTTGGAATAGTAAAGATTGGACAGCAGAGGGCAGTATATTCTCTGTAGGTGCTCAAAACACATTCACTGTATTCATGAGGAACAAATCGAGAGATTTTAGGCCCTTTAAATTCAAACAACCAGTCACCACTAAAGGATGTGTTTGTAGTAATACATGTATTGCTTTATTAATGCATTTATTGTGTGATTAGGTTCCAATGCGTTGGAGATTATTGTCATAATTCTAATAATCATTACCGCTGTCATTTTATGCTGCTTTTATTGTTTTTCTTTGCTTTACTCCATGTGCACTGATGCATATTCAGTACTGTATGAGCAGCTGAACAGGACAAAGAAGTGTTTATTTCCAAAGCAATTCAGTCCGAAGAAATTTCATAACTGAAATCTACATGTCAATATTTCATTACCAATCAGAACTGTTTATACAACTGGAGTTACAGTAATTAATATGAGTTGTGCCTTTATGCCAGCAATTGTTTTCTAAAAGGTTATTGGATTTTGGACCTACGTATAGCTAGTTTATTTACATTTTTTGTTTTTTAGATGTACTGCTCAAATCCAGATTTCATGCACTGACTGCAATAACGACTTGTAGAACATCCTTGTAAATACTGAAATAAATCAGTCGATCGTTTCTGCTTGGTTTCACCTCTCTTCCCTCAGCTTTCCTCTCTCAATGGAAGCTGAACCCCTTTCTTCTGTGCGTGAATGCAAAGTTGGAATATTCAAGCACCACACAGCCTGCTGGGATATGGTGTCCGTTTTGTTTTTAAGTCAAAGGATGTAAAAACAAAAAGGTGGTGTCATTTTCAAGATTAGCTGGTTCTTTTTCAATTTAAGAGATTAGAGGAATATTGGAAAAAAAGCTTTTGCAGAAACAAATCAAAATGTTCCGAGTTTTTCAATATTTCTTGCATACAATCAATGTAGGTGTCATACTGACGACTGACTTCAGCAGCGATTCTGACCTCCATCTCCTGAGTCATGTTATGTCCATGTTTCTGGAACTTTATTCTAGGTGATGTCTCGGATTTTTCATTTTTCAAGGAATACCAACAGCTTTGCATTTCTTTGTTGAGCTTTGTTTGCTTTGTTCCCCACTCTCAGTCTTCCCCGTTGTCTCAGTAAAAGGAGAAAACACTATTCTTCTTTTATGAATAAAAAAATCAAGCTACCTCATTCTTTCTCACCCCCGATAATCCTCACCCCCTGTCTCCCCTGTTAGCACAGACTGCTCTGCTCTCAACCTGGATTATTTTGGTCCTGAGGAGGAGAGCAGGTCCTGCAGCAGCAGTAGCCGTAGCAACAGTCCTCCTCCAGGTCAGATTGTATTATAAATGAGGTTGAAATATGAAGTAATCCACAATGCTGCTGCTGCTTGTGCTGTGGGTGTGAAAGTCCTCTTGACACTCATTGAGTTGTATGTGTGTTTGCTACACACACTCACATGTAAAGGAGTTGACCCGGAGCTGTATGAGTTGACCATCAGCCAACTGGAAACGGGTGTTAGCATTATCCACATGGAGGACACGCTGAATCGCCTGATGTCGGCTGCAGAGACAACCAGCCCTGCAGTCAGGTCTGTTCCTTTGTAACATCCATGCATTCATAATATTTTGTTTTACTATGAAACTTACTGTTTTTCATCAATATATTATAGGTCTCAGATATATACAAAACATGTCTCTGAAGTGTTTGGCTCCAAATACCAAACAGATCATTGCAGCATCCCATAATCCCCTCTGTTTCAGCCCTGTTTCAAAAGTGCTGATTCTCTGTCTGTTACTTCAGATGAAAATAAGGAGCCACTCCCCACGCCTCTCTGAGAGATATTTGGTTACAAAGAACACTGGTGCTCTAGGAGGAGATTCAGGTGATAAGGTGGGGAGGGGGGTTACCTTGGTTTGTGATTGGCTAATGGTTACACAAGCCAAAACATCATTATGACATCACAAAGTGGCCAAAATCTGATCAGCTCATTTTCAGACAGGTTTTTATATAAATGGATCAGGACAAAAAGTGAAACTTTCAGAATCTCTTTACACAGAGAGGACACATGTTTATGTATGAAAAACATGAAAAAGTGGATTTTGCATAATAGGTGACCTTTAAATCTAAAAACAAGGATATTTACTGTATAATTAATGCAACATTTCCTTGTCTTCTCTGTGTGTCTTTTAATCCTGTGTGTGTTCTCCATCAGGAAACCTCAGCAGGACGACGAGGATCTGAGTGCAGAGGCCTGCAGGCTGATCTCTGGTCTGCCTAACCTTTCTTTCATGCAGGCCAAGGTCTTCATGTTCCCAAGCATCCTCCTACCCAAAGAATGATGTTCCCCAAAACTACAGTGATATGTGATTTCCACAATATTTACACCCAATTCTTAATTAGCTTATTGCAATATACACAGGATTCAAATACTCCAAAACAAGAGGCATTGTGGACTCTACAGTGAGTTAAAAATACCTGCTTCAGTGTAATTACTCCCCCTGCTGGCTATATTCTGTCTTGTGCAAAAAAGCTGGATTTCTGTTTTGTCCTGGTTTGTTTTAGTCTTTTTAAAGTTGAGTGTTGTGATTTATTATGGTGAACAACTCACCCAAACACATATTTATTCACTCTACAGACCGCAAGCTCACCACCTTCATTATTGTTTGATTGTATATTTATTGTCATCTTATTTTGTATGTTAAATTATCATTGACAAATGTATAAATATACTAAAATGATATGTGAGACATAAAGAATGAAGAAGTGGCTTTCATGAAGGTATGTGAAGTATAAAACTATATTTTCCTTCTATGGGTATTTCAAATGTTGATAATAAAACAACTGAACTTCAGGATGTATTTTTGCTATTTAAGTCAGGTATGATCTTTCTTTTAATGATTACTGAACACACTCTTAAGTTATACAAATTGAGAGGACAAGGAAATAAAATATGAAGAATTTAATTGAAGATCCAGACTGATGTAGGAAATAGAAACTAACATGTTGCATGTGGAAATTGTATGTAGGCAGCTCTGAATACATGGATCAAGGACCTTATAACAGTTTTTTGTCAAGGCAATCATTCTGTTATTGTATTTGTTATCATTTCGAATGTAAAAAGTGTAAACATGAACATTGAACAACAGTTTTGGAAGTGACATTTGAACACCTCAGTCGCCGGATGTTCTCCACCCTTCCCTTCCCTTCCCTTCCTCCTCTCGGCCGGGTTGGTGTGTCTTCCTTCCGGCTTGCAGAAGAAAGTTGAGGGAGGTTCAGCGGCTACTGGGCTTTAACATAATGGACAGCCAGGGAAGGAAAGTGGTGGTCTGTGACAATGGCACCGGGGTGAGTTTATCACACACTCTCGATCCGTGGCTGTCTTTTAAACAGGGTCTTCATATCGAGTGATTTTCTGGAACAGGAAGTGTTGCTGTCACCGGCCAAGCTACCCACCCAGCTAACGCTAGCCTAGCCTGTTAGCTGGCTCATTTTCATTCATACAGACCCGACACGGAAACAGCACCTAGAGGGGGTGTAAATGTCAGGATAAAGGATTGATACACAGCTCTGACTATTGCTCATACAGTGGAATAAACAGACACAATAAATCAGAAAAGTAACTGCTCATTTGCTACCAATGGTTACTTAGCTAAGGCAGCTAACTAGCATGCTAACTTAGCATTTAACAGCTGGCTGTCTGGTTTTTACTGTCTGGCTGTCCGTCATTTCAGTGATTTGTTTTGCAAACGATGCAGGATTTGCAGATTCATTATATCTTGTGTACTTATCAAAACAGTATCTTATTTATTGGCATGTAACATTAGGTTTTATATAAGCTAGGCTAGGCCGTGTCAGGTTAAAAAGAGGACAGCCTATGTTTTCCTGTTCAGCAGCTCTAACTTCCCGGATATAAATGTCCCCTAATTTGCGGTTAATTAGGTATGTTTGGCCTTGATAATAATACGAAGCATACACTTTTTTTCTCCCATGCATTCCTCACTTATCAGCTTTGTATTAAACACATCTTAACTAAGTACACAAATCGTATCTGACAGGTCAACATATACTTCAAAGATTGAAAGGCTTGATTTTCTTTTGCACAGTAGGTACAGTGTAGATATGGCAATACCAATCTTAAGTCCCAGGCTCCAACAAAGCAACACCAATACATATAGGACTTAAAACAATAAAACACATTAAAAACATCTATAAAAAATAGTGCAAGAAGAAACAGTAGAATTAAAATAGTGCAAGAGAATGCTGCAAGACCAATGTGCAAGCAATGCAAAATAAGTAAACTATGAACATGTCAAATCAAATACAATAAGCCTAATGTTGCAGGGAATTCTGCAAGTGACCAAGTAAATGCAAGAGTCTATAAACATGTACAATAGAATAAGATTAACAAGAACAGAATGTAAAATGAAATACTGTACAGTGGAATAAATACTGCTTATTGTAGTTATGAATACATTTGTGAGAGGCAAACAGGTCAATGCTATCTTAATCAAATAATAGATATGTCGTAAGAAATATATCAAAATAGTGCTTATTATAAATCACACACTCCCAACCCAGTGTTAGTCATAGCTGCACTACATTTCTGTGGTCCTTTGTCCAAACCTAGCTTGCTGATTTAATAGATTATTGGGCCGGTGAGTTTAGGGGGTTTTCAAGCTGCTGTGGTTTGTTAACAGAACGAGCAGTTTCTAAAATACTCTTTGCTGATCTGTTAATGTGCAGGAATGAATCATTGCACACAGGTAACACTGCTTCTTTCAATGCTAGAGACTTCCTTTCTTCGGTGTCAGCAGCAGTCAGAGAGGATGTTTGCTCAGCTTGTAACTGACTAATACGCTTTTTTTTTTTTAGATGTGTCTTTTTCAGGAGCATTATGCAAAGCTAGAAAAACCTGCCCTGTGTCTGAGTTAAATTAAGAAGTCAAGAGGAAGTGAAACGAGTCAGAACCTCAGCCACATACGTCAACACATTTGTACAGCACCGTTATTCGCTGTCAAACATCGTAGTACACTGTTGAATCTGCAGCTGCTAAACAACTCTGAGTTGTTCAGCTTAACTTAACAATTGTCCGCTAAAACTCACCATGAAATAAGACAAGTTATCATACAGCAGCTGATTTTGTTTACTTTACTGAGAGAATCAGTTTATTTCACTTGTTAGTTCCTTAAACCTCCTTAAACTAAATTCCTTCCCAAGTTCCCAAACTGTGTGTACGTCTAGAAGTGAACCTTAATAAGATAAACACGTTGGTGGATGTTCTTTGAGTGTACTCTTTAAACACTGGCAGTTGTTTGGGGAAAAGTAGTAGTAACATCTTTCTTCTTGATGTTCTGTTTGAGGTTACACACACATAATATAAAGACAGTAGATGCAGTGATGTTGCAATAACAGAAATACTTTTACCATTATTACATTGCAGAGGAAGAATGTGTGAAACTTGCATTTAGGAAAATCCGCTAGGCCTAAGGAACTATGTTAACAATTATATACATATTTTAATCTGCAAAAACAAAGTGTCTTAACTACTCTCTTATCGTGTGTGTGTGTGTGTGTGTGTACGTGTCTACTGTCTACGTGTACGTGTCTACTGTCTACGTGTACGTGTCTACTGTACGTGTGTACGTGTCTACTGTCTACGTGTACGTGTACGTGTCTACTGTCTACGTGTACGTGTCTACTGTCTACGTGTACGTGTACGTGTCTACTGTCTACGTGTCTACTGTGTACGTGTCTACTGTCTACGTGTACGTGTCTACTGTCTACGTGTACGTGTCTACTGTCTACGTGTACGTGTACACTGTCTACGTGTCTACTGTGTACGTGTCTACTGTCTACGTGTACGTGTCTACTGTCTACGTGTACGTGTCTACTGTCTACGTGTACGTGTCTACTGTCTACGTGTACGTGTACGTGTCTACTGTCTACGTGTCTACTGTGTACGTGTCTACTGTCTACGTGTACGTGTCTACTGTCTACGTGTCTACTGTCTACGTGTACGTGTCTACGTTGCTATCTCTTCCTGGTTCTACAGTTCAATGATACGCCTCTCTGATGTAACTGTTCTGAGTTACCTGCATGGCCTTCATGTACACAGAAGTGTCTCTGTGGCTGTATATCATCTGATAATTTACTCTTATATCAATGTTATAGATGTAACATCATACTTTATTACTTATGGAACATGTTATGTTTCTGCCAGTATCTCCCATCCCAACATCCTATATTTATAAATTAACCAAAAATATGGTTAGCCATTGAAAGATCAAATACAAATCCGTAGATAAACCTTAAAAAATAAATGTATGGATTTCTACCTTGAGGCTAAAGCAGGCACTGGCCCCAATTGTTCAGACTTATTTTTCCCCAAATAGCTAGAGGTTCTGTAATTGCAGGGCTGGCGTTTTTTTACAATCTTTGTCCAAATGCTAATTAAGCCCCCTGTTATCAGCAGGATGGCTGTGCCGTTGTCTTGCACAGTTTATCTCTTCAGTACTTAAATGAATTTCCTCACATGACTTCCTCTCATCTCTGCTTCTCATGTCTCTCCTTTCAGTTTGTCAAGTGCGGCTTTGCAGGCTCCAACTTCCCGGAGCACATCTTCCCTGCGCTCGTTGGGAGGCCCATCATCCGCTCCACAGCCAAAGTTGGGAACATTGAGATCAAGGTACAAACTGATGTGGCCTTGAAATGTATTGTTTAATTTAACCAGAAAGTCTTGATTTCAAGGGCGAACCCGGTCAGGAAAGCACTGGAAAAACAAGATATGGAATCACAAAGTCAGTGTCAAAGCTACAGACTGTCTACTTCCACTCTTAAAGATCTTAATATTGAGTCCCATTTAGTTCTGACAACTGCTACACAACAGAGTGAATCCTTTAATCCTCTACTAGCTTGACTTAGACAGACTCCCAGTGCATATCTGCTATTAGAGAATCATCTATTATAAATACTATTTTGGGGTAAAGCCCAGTTTATTAAGCAGCACAGGGCCACTTCCTTTAGCACGATCCTATCTCTTTTTCCTGTTCTTTCCAAATTATTTTGTTTATTCATCTCTTTTTATAAATCTGCCTTCCTCTTCCTCCATGTTTTGTTCCCCTACGATGAACTAGAAAGCCCATAAGATGGTAAGTTGGTCGGTGTGTGCCTCCTCTTGCCTGCTCTGGAGAGTTGTGTTGTTTTTTGGTCCAGTTTTTCACTCACACAATGATTCGATTATTTTCCAACCCAACTAGTTTCCGTTGAGTTTGAGCGTTTGCCAGATGAGTGGCAGAGGGTCTGATAGATGTACAGCCCTCACATTAATGCACTCCTCTCTCCTGGAGGGAAGTGTTGCAGGAAAGGCTGATGAATCATAAGCCAGCTGTTATCGATGGACTGCTAAAAGAGATTTTGGACCGGTTCCATTTTCAGAGTCTCTGATCTGCTGACAGCTCCACCCCCCACCTCCATCCTGCTGCTATTTAAGGACTGAAATAAATACAGTTTTCAGCCAAAGAAAATTGAAATGTCAGCTGCAGCTAGAACGATTGGTGTTAAATGATAAATGTTGTGTACTTATATGCACTATAGATATTTTTACCTCCCTGTGAAAACATATTTTACACAAGGACTGTCCATTTGACAACATTTACTTTAGTATCTGCAGCTGTTTCACCTTTACTAGTTCAGAGGAAGTGTGGGGGAAGAAGTGTGCATGGCAGACAGCTGGAGGTTAAAGACGGAAGCACATCTGTTTTTCTTTTGA